GATAGATGCCTGAGAACAATCATAAAACAAGCTAAATGACAAACGTGTTGAAAATTATTGTACATGATGAAATGTAGGTTGCATAATAATTATTTAATGATGTTTTTGATCAAGTTAAACCTATGAATAATTACTTCGGTGATCACATAAGTGTTATGTTTGCCATTAGGTACGCTTGAAGATATTACGAGTTCTTACACATTTGGAATCATCAATCAGTCACTGTTAGACCACCATTAGAAACCTGGACGGCACTGGAAGGCCGTTTCGTTCTTGTGTGGGTGTTTAAGGACTATACTTTCTACGCTTACAAAGACTTCTGTTACAGCTTTGGATTCAAGGTAGCCTACCTGAAAGCTGGTAATTTTCTCGTTCGCCTTTATCGACTAAGGTGAACTTTTAATAGTCTCAGGTTTACCAAGTGAAGAACATAACAATTATTTTCATTAATTTTTCTTTATTTCTATCTGGATTTAATTCTTTTCGGTTCACAAACATGAGATGGTCATCACACAATTTTTGAGGTTTGTGTTTTTACATATTTGAAAACATCAATCAATCATTGTTAGACCACCATTAGAAACCTGGACGGCACTGAACGGCCGTTTCGGCCTTTTGTCGGACTCATCAACAGTGCGCGTTGACCACAATTAAATACATAACTCCATTAATTGGACCAGCGAAGTCGACATGTATCCTGGACCGAGGATGCTCATGTTTAGATAATGATACCGGCCGAATTTTGGCATTCATCTTTGCCCCCTTCTGACACCGCATATATTATATGAACCAACGCCGTGACATGTTGGGCCAGTATGCATAAATCCTGGCTATGGACTTCATTCGTTTAACCCCAGAATGACCAAGATGGAACTGTCTCAGCACTTTTGCAGGAAGAGATTCTGGCACTAATACTCTTTCACCAAACATCTAACAATCGTTCACGATGCATTGCGAATCCCGCCGCTGATACAGTTGCTTCATGTCACCTTCAAACTTCTTCGACGGCAAACCGTGAAATATTTCACCATCATAATAATGATGGGGTCGTTTCTAGAAGCATTTTGTATGTCTGGTGCAGACACCGGTAATGCGCGAATCGCGGTTGTCAGATAACATTCTGCATGGTCTTCTACTGACAGAGATGCGATCACCATTTTTTCCTCAGCCGTCACTTGATCGTTAATGAGTCGTGACAAAGCGTCTGCTTGACCGAATTGTAGAGTGCGTCGATATTGAATTTCGAAATCATGCCTCAAAAGTACCAAGGCCCATCGCTGAAGACGATTTGCAGAGTGGGCTGGGATGACAGATTTAGAACCAAATGCTGCTAACAGAGGCTTATGATCCGTGAAGAGCGTGAATCTCCGCCCGTACAGAAACTTTCAGAAACGGCAAACAGTAAACACAAGGGCAAGAGCTTCTTTCTCCATCTGGCTGTACTTCTTTTCTGCTGGGGTTAGTGTACGGGATGCATGCATAACGGCTTCTTCTGAAGAATCTGGAAACAGATGCGAAATAACAGCACCTAGGCCATATGCTGACGCGTCTGATGCTAAGATGATTAGCATGGATGGATCGTAGTGTGTTAATAACAATTCCGAGCTGATTATGGACTTGAGTTTACCAAAAGCCGCGTCCCACACACTTTAGTCCAATTCCATGTTCTACGCTTCAGCAGCAGAATATTCTATGAAGCGCCAATATCATACACCGAGTGAACACATGCTGAATAATAACTGAATAATCCGAGGAAAGATCGCAATTCCGAAACATTAGTGGGAGTGTGCATCAGTTTGATAGCTCGGATGTCCTCAGGATCTGGTCTGCGACCGTCGGCATCGAAGATAAATCCCAAATACATTATCGACTGCAACAAATCTGGCACTTTTCTAGTTGTTGGAAGATAGATGGAGCAGTCTTAACTCTAAAAGGCAGCTCTTTTGATGCCTTATCTACTTCGGTTTGCAAATGAGCATCAGTTAGATTGAGCTTTGCGAAAACATTTCCTCCAATCAGCTTAGTGAACAGATCTGCTAGGAATGGCAGGGGATAATGATGCTGTTTCAGAGCTGCGTTGAGATCTGCAGAGACGTTTGCACAAATACGTGCTGTGTCGTTCGCCTTCTCGATAACAACTATAGGTGCTTCTCAAGCACAAAAAGAAACAGGAGTTATAAATCCTTGTCGATGTAGGCGATCAAACTCTTCATCTACTATTGCTAATGTCGCATAAGTTAAGGGTCTCTTTGGACATAATGCAGGCCTAACCCAAGGTTTCATCCAAATTGTTGCATTGATGGCAGTGCACCAATCTAATGCAGGTTGAAAACTGGTTGGAATCCGCGTCATCAGCTTGCTCGTATATGATTCAGGGTCATATGGTTGTGATACCAGGTGGCGTTCGGTATTTAACGGGACATCAGCCAATGAAATTGGCTTGTCAAAGCACTCTAAACCAAGTAAATTCATATCAGCTGGCGTTATATGACATACACCAGTAAATGACAAGTCTCGAAAGGCAACTTTACATTTCAAATGTCCTAACAGACGAAGGTAGTTACCATATGCTGTACGAGGATTCTGTGTTCTCCCCTGCAGGCTTAAGCCGCCCAATTCCCATCAATTTTTTCGTGAGAAGCTGATGACTTCAGATTTGGTATCTATTTGCAATCTACACAAATGTCCTTTAACATTGGGAGTAATCAATTTTCTATCACCTGGTGATGAGCTTCGACAGGACGATATTAGGCTCAATTAATTGGTACCGGATCTAGGAACAGACATCTTGGTACTCCTGGATCTATTCGGCTTTCTCTTCAGGCAAAACCATCTTTATCACCGATGACCTGGAATTTCCTGCATCGATGTTGCCCGAATGGGCAGTTCCGTACATAGTCCCATGAGCCGCAGTGCCAGCAAGCAGCAGTGGAATTCGTTTTTGTCATTTGGACTGAGCTGAACTAGGATGAACTAGATGTTGCATACGCAGATTTATTCTGATTAGGTAGCTGATGTACCAAATGCACTTCAGATCGGCTTGAACCACCACTTTCCACTATAGTTGTGTCTCGTTGTAGATTAATGAGACGTTGGTACTCATTAGCGATGTCACAAAGGGTGAGCTTTGGATCTTGCTCAAACCGACATAGTAGCCTTATTCTTATGTCACTGAACGTATGACACTGGAGGCTGTAGATGATTATGAGGACTTTAAAATAATCTTCACATAAAGACTTCAACCAAAAAAGCATTTGCATTTGTCCGAATTTCTGAACTGTCTCAGAAAATAAACGATCAGGTTTGTTCAGTGGCAGGATCGAATTGCAGCACTTGTCCAGCCCATTTGTACCAAACGTTCAAAGTAACAGCCGAACCTTCCATGCATCATCTTGATTGACGGAATCAAATTTAAATAAATCTTCATACCGCCGGAATCACATGTAAGAAGTAACATTGACATCGGGATCATAATGGAATTCAGCTATACCATTTGCGATGCCGTCCACCGATGGAGCTGTGGTTGTATTAGATGAGATGGGCTGTGTGGAAGAGGAAATCTTCATGTCTGTCAACATCTGCATCATTTTCAGTAGCTGTTCATGTAATGATTCAAGTATGGCAGGATCCATGTTTCCGAAACCGCCGTCCCTAATTGTTATGCTTGTCACTGGAATGCTTGAAGTTAATACGAGTTCACTTTAGTCAATAAACGAGAACGATACAATGAACTAGCGTAAAGATAGGCTACGTGGACCCGAAAACGGCAGACGAGAAGTCTTGATAAGCGTGTACTGTATCTCCTCCATCTCAGAGTTGGGTTTCTTTTCCCGATAATTCACAGAAGTCATAAGTATGAATTCTTCTTCAAAGTCATCTGAAACTGATCAACAACTTCAGCCTAAATCTTATCCATTTGATTCATTATTCACAAATTAAAAACAAACACAGTAACATTCAAGTGTATTAACTAATTATTTTACCATTTACATAGAATGCAAACTCATCTAAATAGACAGTATTGATTTCAAAAGATTTTTCAAGCTTTTCTTTTTAAGTGTACCCTTTTTAAAAATTAGATCGTAATTAACAAACAATTCTTGCTCGACTGATTATTCTTACAAAAAAAAACTGCGTAAATCATTTGATAATTCTACTATTTTCTGGAATGTTTAATAGACACTGCAATTAGAAACAACCTTTTTTTTAAAATGTCAGTTTAACATAATGGATAGAATTGTGGTTTATAAATATATATATATATATATATATATTATAAATATGGGTATATTTCCAATTTGATTATTGAAAAGAATCCAAATGTTTTACTGAAATGAATACAAGTTGTATAATAATTACTGACCATAAATATTCAACCTAATTTCGTAATTCAACATGAGTCGATGTAGATTTTGAAGAAACCTTCATAAAATTATACGTAGAAATGACAAGATAACTCTTTAATAATAATAATAATAATATTAATAATAATAATAATAATGACAATAGTATTTTGAATGATGTAACGTATTAAAGTTAATATTTGAACAGTAATAATAATTGAACATTGATATCATATTTGTTTAAATGCATTCGAAATAGGTATGTATGCGTAGATGTCTATATATATATTCAAATGTTAAATACAAAATCAATAAGATGTCTGATTGCATAAAACCTTTGTTATGTTAGTGTAGACTTTAAAAGAATGTAATCTGTACAATCAGAAAAATAAAAGACAAGCACAAATCAATGTTTAATTTCTATTGTTTCAAATGGATAAATAAGAGAAAATGATCAAAATGTCGGTGACAATAACAAATCTATCATGAAACTTATGATATATATATAAATATATGTTTATGTATAAGAATCTCATCACAATCATTTTTCAAATAATTCATTTTGCTAATTACTGAAATGTTCTCTGAATACAAATTAAACTGTCGATTGATTGCCATAATTCTTTGACAATTATCAATGTAATTAACAACATTATGAGAATGAAAATAATTAAGGGCGAACTGATAAACATCAAAATCAATGATAGTTAGATAGAGAATTTTGATTACTTAGATGGATGGTCCCATTACTGACCTGTAGTGCATAGAATAATACAATGATGATGTTATTAACGAATAAAATTCATTGAAATCAAGGTGCAGATTATCGACGTGACATTTTTTCTTCTAAAAGCATAGCACGTGTATTACTCTGAAAGAAATAATGAAGAGTGAGAAAATATTAGAACCGTATTAGATTATTAGATAGAAGCGTGTTAAAGCGACGGCCTTGAATGAACCAATGGACCGATATGGAAGTGTCTAGTAAACGTTTACACAAAATCAAAAGCAGACCGACAAATACAACGCAGAACTTCGTACGTAAGTACATCAGTTCAGGTTGCCATACCACATCAACATAGAGACGCAACTGTTAGTTCAAATACAGGAGTGATAGCGACAATAGAAGTATTACCAGTAATCGACAAGATTAGGGAGTGAAGATATGATTCGAAAAGTATAATTCAGTGAGATAAATTTAGAAGGAGAAAGATAGAGATTATGAGGAATTCAGGAGGTTCGAGTTTGAGAGAACACAAAGAGTGGATGCACCTGCGCCATTGCAAACAATTTTGAACCATGTCGTTCAAGGTATCTAACCATCGGTGACTTTCGTCTCGCGCCACCCCAACCGGGTAGCCTACATCTACCAACATGGCTCAATCTACTTGTCAGTGACTCCATGGATTTGTGCCATGTTTTGGTTTGGCCGAACCTAGCTTTCTTCCAACCTACTCCTACATCCGAAAACATAGTTCGTCGAAGCAGTCAGTGGTTAGGCATTCGTAGCACATGTCACACACGAAGATTTATTACTTCATCAATTGATCTGCCATCTTTACCTAGCACCCGTTACCTAATAACAACATTGCTTATATGGTTGTCCCACGATACACGAGCAATGCTTCGGAGACATCAATGATCGAATACTAGTATTCTGCGAAAGTCCTCTACTACCAGCGGCAATGTTTCGCATCCGTGTAGTAGGACGAAGCAAACTACTGCACCGTACACTCGTCCTGTCGTTAGAAAGCGGATATCTCGCATACATCTGAGCTGAGATTTCGTCCGTCACCAGACCATCAGCACTGATGAGACTTCCCAGATACGTGAGGCGGTCTATACGTCCAACTACTTCACTCCCTATCACTAGTTCAGATACCGATTAAACCCAATATTGAAGCAATATTTTGCCTTTCGAGGGTAAGAACCATATCCCGAACATGCTTGCATCGTTGCTCAGGGTATGACTCAGTCTTTAACGGTTTCACATCATAGTTGATGTCAGTTAGAAAAAAATCTCTGTAAAGTTATAACCGTAATTCACAGCACTAGTTTATCTGATAATATATATAACATTAACCATTTTGTTTTGCCATAGACAGGGGTGGCCGAAGGAAAACATGGCACAAATCCATGAACTCACTGACAAGTGGACTGAGTCATGTGTGCAGATGTAGGCGAGACGAATGTAACCGATGGTTGGAGACTCTGAAAGGCATGACTCAAAATCGTTTGGAATGGCGCAAGTGTATCCACTCTTTGTATTCTCTCAAATTTCAACTTTCTGAATTCCTCATCATCTCTGTCTTTCTCTTTCAAAATTTATCTCACTGAATTGTACTTCTCGAATCATATCTTTGAACCCTAATCTTCTCCATTGTTGCTAATACCACCTCTATCTCTACCACTATGTGATTTGAACTGACAGTTGCGTCTGTGTGTTGATGTGGTATGGCAACCTGAAAAGTGTTCAACATGGTTGACTGGATTAGATTTAAATATCATTTCGATTATATTGATCGATATGAAATAGAGTATTTCCATTTACTAAAAAAACCACGAAAATCAACTTTGAATTAAACAAACCGAGATTTAATGCCACTTGGTACTCATTATCATGAAATCGTTTGTACAGTGTTATTGAATATAAATGTAAGGTTCAATATCTCGAGCATACAATAATTCAGATCTGATCTAATCACATAGTGAATAATAATTTCTTCAATATTACAAATCAATCAACCATTGCGGTAAAAGACTACTATTCGCACTAAACATCTTTCTACGATTCAATACTGACTGCGCGTAAACATTGATCGGTAACACAAGATGATTCATAGTTTGAGATGGCTCAGACAAAAAGACACATCTCAACTTGATTGATAGAATTTGATTTGTTAATTTTACTATAAAACCTATTACAGTTTATCTGAGGCAATGTGAATTGATATTCAGGCTAATATATATGAGATAAAACATATTCAAACAATAATCAACTATGATTACTGTGCAGCATCTCAACATTTTTATTCAGTTTACTAGCTTTAATGATTGATCGTCTGAATTATTTGATAATAGTATCGATCCTGATTGATATTTGTAATATCATCCACCTGAGCCACAAATTTTCTCTACCATATCAATATTTGTAATTATTCAACAACAGTATTGACCATTGTAAATTGAATCTTGTTTGTGTATGCTAACTTCGCTTATTACAGTTCAAGCGTATTATTACCTGGCTATAAATACTTAGTCACTGCTTCATCGCATAAGACAGTTGACTCACTTGCCTTCCCCCAGTTTTTTTCGCTTTGCTTGTATGCCCTTCATTCTCATGTCTGTCTGACTGAATGAACAGAATGAAAGAAATTGTTCCGTGAACCTGTATTTGGCTCCTTATTACTGCCGTCTCACAAACAGGATTTGCCTAGGTATGTGATAGACGGAATCAGAAAGGAAGATTTTTTCCCTGCGTAGTTGATCATACTTGTCAAAATTAAAGTCAAATAATGGGCCCCCGAATTGATAAACTATACTGCGAATTTAACATGAGACATTAAAATTTGGTATTGAACAAGTGGCTGTAGATAATGGAAATTTGGCAAAGATCATTGTTCTCGAAATTTTTCAAAGCACACGCAATCAGACATACAATGATCGATGAAATTGAAGAAAACGATCCATTCTATTATCGAACAATTTAAACAACTTATTATTAAAGGTTAGTATATTGAGTAAAAATGATGAGATGTGTTATAACTAAATGAAATTGAAACCTTGAAAATTGATCACACATTCAAAAAGACAAAAGTAAATGAAACTTACAAGTTGTTTTTGTTGTTGTTGTAATTGATCACGTTCAGTTCGTAATTTTTCTAAAGCTTGATTAGAAGTTGCATTCTTTGGAGCAGTGAATTCCATCAATGCAATATTCGCTTCTTTTTCACATAATGAAGCAGTAAGTGATTCTAATCTGTAATGATTATCAGACACCAGTAATAATAAGTAGTGCATAGTTCTTAATAATATAAAAACTGTTTGACTGAGTGCGTATTTACTTACTTACTTACTTACCTACTTACTTACTAACTAACTTACTTACTTACTTGCTTGTCACCCTAAATGGAGTATAGGCCGCCGATTAGCGTTCGCCAACCTACTCTGTCCTGGGCCTCCTTTTCTAGTTCTGTCCAACGCTTTTTTTCATTCTTCTCACACCTTTCTCTATTTCTCGGTGTAATGTGTTCCTTGGCCTTCCACTTTTCCATTTACCTTAAGGGTTTCAAGTGACGGCTTGTCTTGTGACGCAATTAGATCCTTTACACAGTGTGCGTCCTATCCACTTCCAGCGCTTCTTTCTGACTTCCTACTACACTGAAATCTGGTTCGTTCTTCCCCAGAGTAGGTTGTTACTGGCGATGTTTGGACAACGGATCCAAAGAATTTTACTTAGACAACTGTTCATAAATCGGTGTATGTTCTGGATGATGGCTTTGGTAGTTCTTCAAGTTTCCGTTCGATAGAATAGAACTGTTTGGACATTCGTATTGAAAGTTCTGATCTTGATGTTTATTGATATTTGTTTGGAGTTCAAGATGTTCTTCAACTGTAGAAATGCAGCCCGTGTTTAACCAATCCGCGCCTTCACATCTGCATCAGATCCACCTTGCTTATCAATGATGCTGCCCAGATTCTCCAAGGTCTCTCTAACTAGACAGACTTTTTTTTATGCATGTTGTGTTGGATTGGAGAACCTTAGCTTTAAATTATGCATTTTGTATTATTTTGCAACTGATTATACTGATCAGAAGCTTCAATTAATGCTGCACAACATTCGGATATGATTAGCAGCCTTAGTTTCTTTCAACAAATATAAATTATGTTTATGGTTGGAACAAAGTAAATGTAATTAAAATGATTAAATCCATTTGTACCAGTAGTTCATTAGGTTATGTATGGATCATTGAACTGAACCACAATAATAAAAAATGTTGACTAGGTGTTGAACTGTTGAAATTATTATTGCATGATCCTTATTCCCCTACATTTTAAGTATATCATTTGAGAAAAAAAATGTTTGCATGAACTTACTTGATTGTTAAAATTTCATCTGATTGATCTTCAACTTGTTTGTTCAATGTGACAATACGTTTGTTCAATTGTTCAATTTTATCTTTACAAGTATTATGTTCAGCTTTTAATTTCTCAAGTTCAATCAATGATCCTTGAGCCTAGGAATTAGAAGAAATTATACATTATTCATAACTAATAGAATTTTTATCTTGAGTTAGATCATGGAAAGAGATTCAGTTGAAACTTTAAGAAAAAACATACGTAGTATAGCGAACCAATCAGAAGTTGTTTAATGAGAAGGCTATTTAATGACGAGTACATATCATTGGTTAAGAAATGGCTTCCTATTCTAAGGAGGTGGGATATATACATAATTACTGACACCTAATATCCCGTAGCCAAACAGACTGTCTTCTCTGTTCTTTTCTTCTCACTCAGGTACGCAGTTTAAAGGGGTTAATGGCATGTATTGCGTTTAAAACAAATCATAATGGGCTGCTTGTGACTATTATCTCTTATAGGATTAATTATTTATCAACCCTGCAACTGGTGAACTGTTTTAAAAACACTATTCCTGTTATTATCTTACTCTCTTTTAAGTACGTCACAAGGTACGCTTGAAGCTATTACGGCGAACAGCAAACACAAGGGCAGGAGCCTCTTTCTCGATCTGGCTGTACTTCTTTTCTGCTGGGGTTAGTGTACGGGATGCATGCATAACGGCTTTTTCTGACGCGTATGGAAACTGATGTGAAGTAACAGCACCTAGGATATATGCTGAAGAGTCTGTTGCTACGACGATTGGCTTGTGTGGATCGTAGTACGTTAATAATTGTAGACTAGAGTTTACCAAAAGCCGCGTCACATTCTTTAGTCCGATTCCAAGTGCTGTTCTTGAGATGGTGGAGAAAACTTGTAGCTCAGGTGGATGATTGTGGTGGTGTTTCGTTCTCTGAGTTGTTTGTTTTGGTTGTGGAGCTTTCATTGTTCTTCTGAACAACATCATCAGCACGAACTTCAGATAGAAGTGAAGCATTAGAATTTCTCCACGTTTGACCTGTAGCTTGTTCTGCTAAACTTCATCTTGATTGGTTGTTGTTGACCTTTGACCTGTCGTTGTTTGCAATTATGTAATGAATTGGTACCGGATCTGGGAAAAGACATCTTGGTACTCCTGGATCGGTTCGACTTTTTCTTCAGGCAAAAACCATATTTATGACCAATGGCCTGAAATTTCCTGCATTTATGTTGCCCGGATGGGCGGTTTCGTACATAGTGTCATGAGCCGCAGTGCCAGCAAGCAGTGATGTAATTCGTTTACGACATTTAGACAGAGCTAAAGCGGGATGAAAAGACGATGAAAATCATCGTCTTGGTTCATACCTAGCTTCAAAAATCGAAAACGAGTATTTAACAGTGACGAGTTGTCGCCAAAGTGTTGGCTCAATGTCTGAACTGTCTCAGAAAATGAACGGTCACGTTGGTTCAAAGAAAGGATGAAGTTCCAGTACTTGTCCAGATCACTTGCACCCAACTTTCAAAGTAGCAGTCGAACCTTCCATGCATCATGTTGTTTGACGAAATCAAATCGAAATGAATCTTCATACCGCCGGAATCACATGTAAGAAGTGACATTGAGATCGGGATCATAATGGAATTCAGCTATACCATTTGCGATGCCGTCCACCGATGGAGCTGTGGTTGCATTAGATGAGATAGGCTGTGTGGAAGGGGAAATCTTCATGTCTGTCAACATCTGCATCATTTTCAGCAGCTGCTCAAGTAATAATTCAAGTATGGCAGGATGCACATTTCCGAAACCGCTGTCCCTAATTGTTATGCATGTCACCAGGTATGCTTAAAGCTATTACGGGTTCACCTTAGTCGATATACGCGAACGAGACTGTGAACTAGCGTAAAGGTTGGCCACCTGGATCCGAAAACTTCGGAAGAGAAATCTTGATAAGCGTAGAAAGTATATTCTACAAACACCCAGCAAGCAGAATGCAATCAAGGGCACAAATCTCGTTTATTTATACATCATAGAAACGTTCGTGTGACAGTCACAAAAATAGCACTCCAAAATACACAGCAGCCAATCACAGACAAGGATTTTCCTCGTGGTAAATGAAATCTGAAGGTCAACTGATCAGCCCATGTTCGTAAACGTGAAATCCAAGATAAAGCATTTATCAAGCGAGTTCAGAGGATCTAACATCCGCAACAGTCTCTCATCTCTTGAAGTGATGCTCATTGTTATAAATATTGATAATTTCTCTAATTGGCTGATCAGTTGTGTGTAGCTCATCACTGCATATTGACTGCTGACTAAACTGAGTATCAAGCTTTTTAGAAACGTTATAATCTTATTTGCCGTAGTTCTGATTAAAAAAAATGAAGGTTTTATGATAAAAACGTTCAATGTCGAACCAAAAATGCACAGTCGATTGATTAACACATCATTAGGTTCCCATAAATCAATGCTTTCAATTATATCTGTCCCATCCCCGATAACATGCTTAAAACTTTCTGATCAACAAAAAATCTAAAGTTAAATTTGATTGTAGAGTTCAATCAGCATTAAACAACAAGAAACAGCATGAAATCAGTCATTAAGTAATGATCAACCACTTGAAGAACGTCATTTGCTAGATGAATCACACAGAGCTATATGAATCCGGTTTAAATCCCACAAGACCTATCAATCCCATAAATAGTTCAGGTACAATTTATTGCCGGAAGCTAACTGATTTGAAACTTTATTAAAATATAGTTCCCTGTCAACTATCTCCAAACTATCACCAAACCATAAAATCATTGATCGCTCAGTTCAGTTCAGTTCAAAAATTTCACTCATAAAAATTATAAAATGTAATTCATCAAAATTAATCTCTCTTTTTTAATTTTTACTTGATCCGATCTCAATTGTCGAATAACACGATCTCTTTCTTCTAATCCAATTCTTTGTTCATCTAAAACTTGATTTAAATTAGCAGTTTCTTCTTCAAATCGACGTAATTGTGATTGCATTGCTTCAATTCGATGTAGATGCTTTTCTTGCTAATTTCAACAAGCAAACAAACGAACAATATAATCAAGATTAAAATTCAAATAAAAACGTCATTTAATCCCTTGAACATTGAAATGACTCATAATGTTATGTAATTTGTGTGACTTAGTATATGTAGCGTACATACGAAGAAGTAAGGCACTGACATGTTAAATACTGTGTACTGACAAAGAATTTTACCGTACAAATGCATGATATCTATTCGCAGGTATTCATTATAATGACAAACTGATTAGAATCGTTGTATAAATGTATAAATGTATAAATGTTAAATCCCATTTTGGCAAATTTCACTAAACAAATCATACATAACTGAGCACTTACAAAATATACAAAAGCTATCGGATATGAGGTAGTTACAAGAAGATGATAACGGATGAGGTTGTACAATATTGTAGATTGATCGAAGTTAGACAAAAACAATGTTAGGTTCCGGTTCACTGGTTAAGAGGTAAGGCATTCTCGTATGAGACCGAAGGTTCAAGATTCGATTCTCGCTTGTGGGTGTGCCCTGTCGATGTGTCCCGTACTAGGACGAAATGGCCATATATTGCTTCCAGGTTTCAAATGGTGATCTAACAGTCATTGATTCCTGTTTTCAATCAAACCCTAAAATCTCCACAAACCGTTATAACAAAGTTTTCATTATTGGAATATATAATAGCTATTGATAGATTGTAGTTAGATGGCAATGAAATCCAGCATATGAATTTCGTCTTATCCATTTACTGAATTGCTATGTCGAAGTAACACCTACCAGATACACATTTGTCGGATGGAATGACCAATTGTAGTAATGAAAGCCTTAATGAAAACTTCCAAACAATCAATACACTTAAACTGAAATATGTATAGATGTTTGAATCATCTATTTCTCAAGGTTCAATCATTGATGTCTTTTTTGAAAATTGTGAACTACGTCATAAACACAAACATTTTAATGCATCAAATATTCTTTTTTATACGAACAACAAAAAATATAAAAAGAACGTACACATTCTTTTTCCATACGATTAAGTACATCTTCACGTTTACTAATTTCTTTTTTCAATGCATCAATTTCTATTTTTAAAGGCTGTTTTACAGTAGAACAAAAAAAATAATACAAACAACGTATTCCAAACATACGGACAACGAATGCACAGTTGTTTCATGAGACTATAAACATTGCCAAAAATTCCAAACCATAACTCAATTGCAGTTTGAACTGTCTCGTTAATAAGTGAGTGAAGATTTCGATTGGAATCATGAGCTGATCATTGTAGGGCTAACATTAGAAACTTGGAAGTATTAAATAGTCATTCGACTGCCTTTGAGCTCGAGACTGAAAGTCTCATGTTTGATTCCCACTCGCGGAGCGGTAAATACAAACTATTGAAGAGTCCCATGGTAGGAAGAAATGGCCGCCTAATGATTCCAGGTTTATAATTTTAAGCAAACTCATCAATTTATATGATTTGGTGGGTGACGTCTGTTTGTAATCTAAATCGCTAGCAACCCATTCAGAAGAGTCCCATACCAAAAACCAAACACTTTACTCAATATATCAGTTTTCTATGACTGGTTAAAATTTTGTCATCAAGGTACATTGTTAACGAGTGAGGTTGTTAATCTAACACCTAACTCTACTGATTTATAAGTAGCATAATAGTGGCAATAACCTTAAAAGATTTTCAAAGGTTGGGAATATTTTTCTCCACCCCTAATTACTATGATAATACGATATAATGAGTCTAAATGGATGACCGAGTTTATATTACTCTTTAATTGAATACTTACTAAACAGAGACAAGATAACGTTCAACCACCAGATAAAAGATTAATGACTGAAATAGTGACCAAAAGTATAAGTGATAGACAGTAAATTATTTCACAACACCACTACAAATAGTCACTCACTCAATGAGTCCAGAGTAGCAGTTAATAGAAGGAAATGAATTAACAAACTTAAAGGTATGTATGCCTACACTCGGTGACTAAACACATTTTACTCTCACTCCAGTACGACCAGTGCTAAGAGTAGAATTACAAGGTTACTTAACTATAAATCAAAACTTTACCAAAATATAAAGCATCGCATCCAGATAATTCATTATCTATCAAATTGTTGGGCTCAAAATTTACTCAGTGTTGTTAACCATCAATCTCATACTTGTTATATATCGGAAGGACACTGCAAGGAAGGTTCTTACTGTTCTACTTAATGATAACATAGCTAAGAATATATTTCAGGCAACATTAGAAGAACGGTTAAGCGGCCATTTAAGGGATTCCCATCCTGAGGCACCTGGGAATGATATCCAAAAAGCTGTGGAAACAGCAGTGACACCGGCTTGTAAGGTAAACCATAAGTCTACGAAGAAGAGGTAGATTTCAGTACCATTTACCGAAATGAAATATGCTCGGAAACTCACCCGGCCGGGTTTTGAACAGGATGAAGTGAGGAGTCAACCTATGCGCAGATTGATAATAAGGCCTTCGCAGTGGTGGGTAGCGAAAGCACACAAATGTTCCGACTTATCAAGAAAACTGGTACTAGGTATCCGACTGTCGTCAAGGCTGTTAATAACTGACTGACTGGCTGTTATAAATCGCTTAAAAACTGTTTAGTAAGAAATATAACTACTCACTGATCCTCTAGATTTAGAACCTGGTTCAATAGGACCGCCAAGCTCTTCAATTTGCATTCGCGCATTGTGTAATTCTTTCTGTAAATTAGTTATTTCTTCCGACTGATTACGAAGCTAAATGAAACATGATAAAAGAAAAGATCTTATTAGCATAAGAAATTTATCAGAATATTTAATACTATAGTAATCAATGAAGACTGAAGTCACAATCGCGACACGTTTAATCACCTTGAGAATCAGACATGTACTACCAAATGAAAAGGAGACATTGATCAATAGGTATCGCAACAAAATGAATGTCCTTAATACAGTAAATACTCAAAGAAATCGTTTGTGTCGACTGTTGAGAAGCTTCATTGTAAGTAGGAACAGGTGTTTTGTGCGACTTGATCGTTGTTATAAAGTAAATAAATGAATTGAATGATGATGACTATTCGTTATATTCACACAACGCAATGACGCTATATTATGACGATAAAATTGAGCAACCAATAAAAATTAAATTAACCGATGTACGAACTAAAAATGCTGTTGCCAAAGCTCTTGATTTTCGGAATATTTTGTACCTCTTTCTAAACGATTGTATGATGGTTTTCTTGTAGAATGTTTGAGTTAGAAATGCTTAGGTTAGGATTATTAGGGTGGGAGGTTAGATTCAATGGGTTTTAATGTTAAGAAATGAATACTTCAAAAAGTGAAGCTAAGAATCAGCATCTTTCCGCATTACATAACTATGATCTTCAGCCTGAATTGTCAATATTCAACACTAAAAAATTCACCAGTGATTTCAGAAGTCCTAATCCTTTATATCTCTACATTTTATGGCTCACAAAGAAGTTGTATTCTGATTAGGTCTGATCGAATTCGCTTGAGATTTTTGGTATATTATAGTTTTACCCATGAAAAATGTCTCACCATATGTGACGCAGGTTGGCAAAAGTCAATCGAGCCTTCTGTATCCGTACTGAGATTTCGTCACACACCAGGCCATCAGCACTGATGACACTCCTAAGGTAAGGGAAGCGGTCAAAAGGCTCAACTGCTTTACTCCTTACCACTAGTTCCGGTGAAGATGCAAACCAGTCTTGAAGCAACATTTTGCATTGCGAGGGGAAAACCTTATCCCGAACATGCTTGCATTGTTGCTCATGATAGTCAGAAGACTCTGAATTTTGTCAGCGTCTTCACCGAATAGAATTATCTTATCGGCATATTCTAGGTCATCAATCGATTTTCCTGGCAAAAGGTCTACTCCTGAAAATTCAGACGAGGATAAGGTTATTTTTAGGAGCATGTCTATGATAAAATTAAACAAGAATGGAGAGAGTGGGTAGCCCTGATGGACACCAGGTCCAGGAACACAACCATTGTCGGAAGTTTAAATGTGTGTCTGTGTTCCAGAACCTGTCGTAGTGGGAAAATGTGGTCTATACAGCCACGTCAGATCGAACACCAGCCTTGTTTTCTTTAGTCTGTTCTTCACAAGCTCCACTTAGGTGTCTAATAATAAGTGAGACTAATAACTTAGAAACTATATTAGTTAGACTGATTCCCTTGTGACTGTCACAAGAAGACTTTTGTCCTTTCATATAAATTGGGACAGTCAGCGACTGAGACCAGTCAGAAGGGATCGCGTCCAAATCCCAAATTCTACCGAAGATCTCCGTCAACCTAGCTGCTAAAACTGGACCACCATCCTTAAAAATCTCAAGGTTCAGTCTATCAGGACCCGCTGCTCTCCCTCACTTCATATCTCCTATAGCTTTCTCAAATTCATAAACAGACAGGGGACTTACCTTGATTTGCCATTCAGGATGACTGGAGACGGTGAGTAACTACAGCGCGGCTGAAGGTCAGTTGAAAAAATCCTTAAAGTGTTCCGCCCATCGATCCAATCTCCTGGATTGAGAATGAATTATACAACTATCCTTTTCTGAGATAGTTTCGTTTAACAGATGCATTTCTTACACCAGTTTCCTCGATGAGTCCAAATAGTTACCTAATGTTGCCTTCACCGAATAATGAAGGGCTTACACTGATAAACAAATATGGATAATGGAAACATCGTGTGTACAAATAAATGGTTTTTTTGAAACTCACAAATCTCTACAATCCTATATTAGCTAGGAGCGGCCAAACCAAAACATGACACAAATACATGAGATTATTGACAGTGAGTGAGTGAGCCATATCTGTAGGTGCAGAGTACCGGTTTGGGGACCAGATGACAATCGTAACCCATGGTTTCAGATCGTTCGTAGTGGCGTAGATGTATTCATTCTTTGTCTTCTCTCAAATTCTAATCTTCTGAGTTCTTCCTGACTGTAGTGCACTTTTAAAATTTATTTCAATGGGATACACTTCTCGAATGATATCTTTGATCCCTAATGTTTCCGATTACCGCTACTATTGAATTTGAATCGACTACTCAATCTCTTCGTCGTTAAGATGGTATGGCAACTTGAAATGATTAAACTTACTTTCGAAGTTCTGCATTGTAGCTGAGCGACTGACTGACTGACTGAAAAATATCATGTGCTTGTTGGGGACTAGTTTGGTGAGGAAATTCTCAGACTTCTAGCAAAAACAAGTGACCGGTGAAGTTTAACCGTGTCCGCTGTGAGGCAGTAATTACTCAACGATGACAATCGATGATCGTTGCACAGTATTATGGATTGATAAATGTCACACATTAACACCGTCTGATACTAGCCCAATTATCAAGATGTCAAATATTCTTGAACCAAAAACAGTAATTCTTCTATTGGATTCCTGCTTGTAGCGTTGCGGATGTTCACTAATGATCAGTCCCAGACTAGGACGAAACAGTAACTCTCTAAATAAGACGCGGCATGTCTTTTAAGGGAAGGTAAATCAAATCTATCTTGACAAAATGAATTACGTTTCTTTCTTAGTGATCTTTATTAGATATCTCATAGTAATACTATTGTAACAAATACTACTCACAAGGTAGCCTATAAGTAGTATGCAATCAGAGCATCACCTGGACAGGACTGTTAAGAGATTTAAAATGCATGGTGTGATCAAAGAAGACCCCGAAAAATAGTTAGTGGAGGACAGTTCGTAAACTTGCTTCGATTACAAATAAACCACTGAAGCTTATATGTAACACATATATTTTGTAAAATAAACTTGTATCTTTTCTCAAAATAATATCCCATCATGCAATTTATTCTTATCTAAAAAGTAAACAAAGTGTATTTCAATATTTTTTGATTTTTTTTGTAGTTACAAAACAGAATTACCACTGAATCAGATATGAAATTTTATCACAAACGAACAACAGAATTAGAAAGTCAATTAAATGCATTACATGGAAAATTCATCGAAACTACAAACTTGAAGTTTGATCGGTCTACTGAGAACAATTGATACAGAGAAATTTGATAAAGAAACTCAAATACATGAATTGAAAGAGTAAATTTACAATTTAATTTTTATCCTAAAAAATTGTTTATTTTTCGTACAAGTACGAATTCAAATCATTCTGATTAGCCACCGAATACCTTAACATGGTTGACACAGACAGTAAGACAAATACAATGCAGAACTTCGTACATAAGTACATCAATTGAGGTTGCCATACCACATCAGCACAGAGACACAACTTTCTGTTCAAATCCAAGAGTGATAGCGATAGTAGAAGTATTAGCAGTAATGGAGAAGATTAGGGAGAGAAGATATAATTCGAGAAGTATAATTCAGTGAGATAAATTTGTAAGGAGAAAGACAGAGATTATGAGGAATTCAGAAGGTTAGAAATAGAGAGAACACAAAGAATGGATGCACGTGAGCCATTGCAAACGATTTTGAGCCATGTCACTCAGGGTGTCTAACCATCGGTGAATTTCGTCTCGCGGACCCCAACTAGATAGCCTACATCTACCAACATGACTCAGTCCACTTGTCAGTGACTTCATGGATTTCTGCCATGTTTTGGTTTGGCCGCCCCTAACTTTCTTCAAACCCAATCCTATACCACAAAACATTTTTCGTCGCTGCAGTCAGTGGTTAGGCATACGTAACACATGTCCCACCAACCTCAACTGATGAAGTTTCAATACTTCATCTATTGATTTGCCATCCCTACCTAGAACTCGTTTCCTAACGATAGCATTGCTTACTCGGTCGTCCCAGGATACACGAGCAATGCTTCGGAAACACATATGATCGAAGACTAGTAACCTACGAAAGTCCTCTACTCTTAAGGGCCAAGTCTCGCATCCGTACAGTAGGACGGAGCGAACTGCTGCACAGTACACTCGTCCTTTGGTTAACAAGCGGATATCTCGCCTGCGCCATAAGTGACGCAGGTTGGCAAAAGCCAATCGAGCTTTCTGAATCCGAGTTGAGATTTCATCAGTCACCGGGCTATCAGCACTGATGAGACTGCCCAGATACGTGAAGCGGTCTACGCGTTCGACTACTTCACTCTGTATCACTAGTTCAGGTGCCGATGCATGGTTGAGATTCGGAAAGTGTTCATACTCCTATTGGAAATACTGTTATATGGCCACGCATGGTATAGCCACTGCCAGTAAAGTCCTACTTACTGTGTTTTTGCATCGGAGTTGTTGTTGTTTATGAACTAAAGAGTTCTATCAGAATTTCTAGCAGTTAAATCGGATAGATAGATACGAACGATCCATCTGAGGGAGTTAGGAAACCCTCATGTCAAACCAATACTGTATATGAGCTCTAGATTCAGGTGAATGAGCACTTTTTAAATAAACTGAACTAAATTCATAAAAAATTTATGAACATGTCATCAGTCTGCATCTAAGACTCCAAGTCGCAAGAGTCATACCCATGACTTTCGGGGCTTGTGAGCGAATGCTTATCTCTGGAACACGTAGATGGCATTCATCGAATCAGTATTTTCAGGTTTTAAATGGTGGTCTAAAAATGATCGATTCGTGATTCTAATGAAACTCAACAACCTTTACAACTACATGACTAAAATCATAAGATCCGTTCTTGAGCGACTATCTTAGTAGGGAAATTCTTCAGTTCAGGTGATAAGCCGTGACTAGTGGAGTTTAACTCTGTTGGGTGTGGTCAATTATCCACTGAAGACAATGGGTGAAGATGCGCAAAACCGTGAACTGATTAAAGTTAGACATTAGTATGGTTGGATGCTGGCTCAGTGACCAAGAAGTTAAGCGTTAGCGCGAGATTCAAGGTTCTGAGTTCAATTCTCGTGGATGTGCACTGCTGATGGGTCCAGAACTAGAACGAAATAGCCGTTCAATACTTCCGGGTTTCTGATGTTGGTCTATCAATGATCAATTGATGATTTCAATGAAATTTACCAAATAATTTTCATAGCTAATGAATATAACACTAGTTAGTAAATAATGGATTATTCATGTACTTTTAATAAACACGCAAACGAACTTTACATTCTGACTGTAATTTCAATTATTTCGAAATGAGATAATTTTACTGAATTATAAGATGATATATAAATATTTCTCTGATGGAAATAGTTCTCTTACATACTAGCTATTTGTAAATTTTATTCGTCATAGATTGACCTCTAAAAACCCATGATCACTAGACATTGGTTTCTTGTTAGAATATTCATCCAATATCCTAAGAGAATTATTTGTCAATTTCTGTTGGTTAATTCCTATTGGTCAATTTTATGATCGTCCTAGATATCAATGTCACGTACTCCAATGTTGTTTCTTATTGGTCGAGCTGAATTTCAATGTCACTTCAAATGTCGTTTCTTATTGGTCGTCTTATCTGTCAGTGTCACATACTTTAGTGTTGTTCCTTATTTGACCTTACTGTACAAATACGCATTATCTGTAACGTTTTATGACCGGGACACGGATCCCTAGTCCGTGATCCTTGCCTTCTTCTGGACTTGGAAATCGTACTTTCTGGATGCTTGTAGACTTCAGGTTCTACTTCATATTGAGTTTTCCTCTTTTATTCAATGGGGGTTGGGACACTCGGATTAGAGTAGCACGTCGTGTTGCCGGATAATTGATCCTCACTCTCGTTTTCCGACTAAGGTAAACTCGTCATAGTGCAAGCATATCAAATGACATGTTTACGTTCATGCGTATTATCTTCCTACAATCGTACTCCTCAGAAGTGCACACTGATAGCCAAATCAAGTGTAAAACTTAGGATCTCCTTGTCTCGCGGAGAACGCCACAAGATGAAACAACTGTCTATTGCCTCTTTGAATTCAGTTGTAACCTATAGAAGATCAACCTGCAAAAATCAGAGCCTATAAACCAAACCAATCTCTGAAAACTCCATTCAACCGTTCCGGATATCTCTCCAATTTTTGAATTCTGACAAATTTTTCTAGATACTTCATGTTTAATTTTTTGAAATAACTCATTATTTTACTGTTACAGAGAACTTCGTGAAGCACAAAATAATTTGAATAATTTCAAACGTAATCAACAAACTGAACGAAAAAAATCCAATCAACAAATTGAAGAGTTGAGACAACGTGAAGAGAATGCCCAGTCTGATAATGAAATATTAAAGGTGTAGTCATGAATTTTTACATTGTGAAATAATGAATGTTTGATTGTTGAAAATAGATTGAACAGAATACACTCCTGGTTAAATAAGATTTTAAAATGATTGGAATATACTCTATCAGAGCTTATCTGAATTCTTCAACACCTCTAGTTTTGACTTTCGAAACTTTTCTCACTGAATCATACTTCTTGAATAATATCTTCTAATCCTAAGCTTTCCGATTACTGCTGATACCTCTACTATATCTACTACTATTGGATTTGAATTGACAATTACATCTCTGTGCTGATGTGGTATGGCAACATGAACTGATGTACTTACGTACGAAGCTCTACGTTGCATCTGACTGACTGACTGATCTATTTGCAATCTTTATGGAGCTGAAACTTTCCAGGGAGGATTCAAACCTATACATCCAACTTCATATTTTGAGATGTTGTTGCTGAATAGAAAAATGAGGGTTCAAATTTGATAGATAGATAGATAGATAGATAGAGAGCATCAACTACTTGAAGATTGTAGATACAATTTTTTGGTGAATGCAAGTTGGTACATAACCTAGTTTTGAGGTGTTTATTACTGACGAACTAAACTTATCAGTATAGTACGCGTTAGATAGTGGCGATCTGTGCTGGAAGCACAGTCAGAAATATCAGCAACCCGATAATCTATGGTATTTTTAATTAAATAAGACACCAGTCATTACTAACCGAGTTACTTACTTACGCGTGTTATCCCTAATGGAGCATAGGACACAGACTAGCATCCTCCAACCAACTTTGTGCCCTAGGCCTTCTTTTCCAGTTCTTTACAATTTTTGTTCATTCTTTTCTTATCTGCTTCAGCATAGTGTGTTCTTTTGTCTCCCTCTTTTCCTTTGGTCTTAAAGATTCCCAGTCTAGGCTTGATTTTCTCAAAAAGTATCCTCTTCACCTACATCGCTTTTTTCTGATTCCTTCTTCAGTAGCAATCACATTTGGTCTCTTCTACAGTAGGGTTGTAGTTGATGGTGTCTGGCCAAGGGATCCGGAGTTTTCGACATGGACAACTGTTAATAATTGCTGGTATTTATTTTAATGATGAACTAGTCAGTCAGTCAGTCAGTTAGTTATAACGTAGAACTTCATGCGTAAGTAAATAAGTTCAGGTTGTACTCCACTGGTCATGTGTTTTTGATAGAACTCTGAGACTTTCCTCACGAAACTAGACACTAGTCAACAAATTTGCTCATTTAAAAATTCTACATATGATTTAATTACTAATCATTGTTAATAAGAATGGTTTTTAAAAAAATATTCATTTACAGAGTATTATAACAGAAAAAGATGGCAGAATTCGTGAACTAGAACAAGCATTACGTGAAAGTGTACGTTTAACAGCAGAACGTGAAATTTACGCTTCTGGTCGAGATGATGAAACAAGACATTTAGAACAACAGGTATATTGGTTAATTAGTTTTTTCTTTCTTGATTCCACAGTTTTTTGACTACAGATAATGATAAACTGTTAGACCTGGAAGCACTGGACGGCCGTTTAGTCCTGGTGTGGGACTGATCAGCACTGCGCATCGACGACTAGCATCGGAGGTCTAGTGCGAAGACGTGACCAGTGGAGTTCAACCCTGTCGGGTGTAGGCAGTAACTATCGAAGACAAATGGGTGAGGTCGCGCAAAATCCCAAGATCAATCAGAGTTAGACACTAACACCGTTTGATACCGGCTCAGTGGTCCAATGGTTAGGCGTTCGCACTCAATACCAAAGGTTACAGGATTGAGTCCTGTGATGCACAGGAGTAGTGGATGCGCACTGCCACTGATGAGTCCCATACCAGGATGAAGTAGCCGTCCAGTGCTTCCAGGTTTCTAATGGTGGTCTAACAATGATTGATTGATGATTTCAAATGTGTACAAACACTGATCTCCAAAACTCTAATTGAAAAAACAAATTACTGTAAATGCACCCTCTGCTTGCTAGAAAGATTTTACATTGGTTTTAAGGAGAATCAGACACTGTCCACGTGTTAACACCACAACGTGAACAGTACAGCCTAATCCTGTGGCGCAATTACACAGGTATCAAACACCCTGGTAGACCATTCACACCAGTTATATACATTAGTACATATGTAATGATTATTTCCGATCTATGATCGCGTCAATCAATATGCAGTGCATGGACAGGCCAATCTGACCCATACCGCTTATATGACTGTCAAACTCATTAATATTAGCAATGATGATAAGCAATGCAGCACCCCGATGACAATGGTCCACGAAAAGGTTGCAAGTCAACCACCGGTATCAATGAAATCGGTTGCCCTGCAAACCAAATTTCTATATGAACTACTAGTGAAACTTGTCATAGTAATGCCAAACAATCCACAATGTTCACTACATATCTCGAGTCTCATAGGAAACCTTCAGCTCTATAAAACAATTTACCTTACAGTAAATATTCAAATGAGAAACGTGAAGGGAGAGGTGAGGAATGGTTTCATGTGATCAGTAGCTGACCATGTGTTAGGCGGTCCTAAATGATCCGGTAAAAATCAGAACAGAGACAGGGTACCTGACACTGTTCGTCCACAAGCTTTGTTTATCAATCTACACAATATATCATTCTGTCCTTATACATATCTCATAGTGGAATAACTTCAAATCTTATGATAAACTTGACTTTCTACTATTTTTCGATGTATAAAACTTACTGAGATCAACTGATTAGTACTATTTGTGTTTTGGAAGTTCCCTTGCTAATAACAAAAGTTTATCTTAAACTGAAAATAATTTTTACAAAACAGCCAACTATTAAAAGCATCCTGATTAAAAATTAATCGAAGAAGGTTATGGAGATTCTTTTTTAATTTTTGACTTGTGCAGCTGCACGATTCAAAGTGCTCTATCATAGCATTTCTGATAGTGAAGTTGCATGATTCCGTTTGGAATCCTATTGGGAGCATCAGTTCCCTCAAGTCGACAACTATTTTACTTATGAGCTGTAGTTAGTGAGAGTCCTAAGTATCTTTGCAACTATTTTCAGCTAGCTAACATATTTACAAACTTTATTTGAGAATAATAGCTATATTATGTCTAAATTTATAATAACAAGTTATAACCTAGTGAGTTATAATTCTTTAGATCGTATGGAATATGTCACCAGTGTCAATTAATTGTAAAATTTTGAAAAATCGAAACCTATCAAATGTTATAAGTGTGAACTACTATGGGATGCCAAGTCTACAGGGTCAAACTTAATATGGAAACCTAAAGATCATGGATACGAAAGCTGCAGGACCATAGTTTATGGAACTAAGACTGAATAGCTTTTAAGCGTGGAGGATACTGTCAGTCAAAGATGAAAATCCCAACTCTTGTTCCGTAACAGCAAAAACTATATTGAGGAACGATAAAAATTATGCCACTGTTTACTATGTCCTTTCGAATTATATGAAGAGCATAATGTTTGTGTGATTCAAATTTCATGGGTTCCATTGATTAATATTAATACACGCTATCACAATGTTACGCCTGCACGTAAACACGTCAAGTTGATATACTTGAACTATTATGAGTTTATGTAGTCGGAAAACGAGAGCGGAGATCGAGGATCCGGCGACACGACATGCTACTCTAATCCGAGTGTCCTAACCCCTACCGAATAAAAGAAGAATACTTGATGTGAAGTAGAACCTGTATTCTCCAAGCATCCAGAAAGTATGAGGTCCGAATCCAGATGAGAATCGGGATCCCAGACTAGGGATCCGGGACCGAGCCCTGGTCCTGGTCGTGGTCAATAAACGTTTCAGATAATGCGTATTTATACATTTTGGTCGAATAGGAAACAGCATCGAAGTCTGTGACATTGACAGTTAAGACGACCAATAAGAAACAACATTGGAGCACGTGACATTGATATCTAGGACGACCATAAAATTGACCAGTAGGAATTAACCAATAGGAATTGACCAATAATTGTCTTAGGATATTGGATGAATATCCTAACACACAACGATTTTCGTTCTCGAGTAAATTCATGGTAATACTTGGGGGAACTGACCTTCTAAAATATACCGTTAACGGAATATTATATATTGCAGTGAAAATATGGAGGAAGTAACTTCTACAAGATAACACTAAAGAGAATTACAAGATTATCCGAAGACGTTCAAGTTGTGAAGTCATGTTTTGATTCTATAAACGATCTGCCAATACCTATTATGAAAGATTGTTTAAAGGCAAAAATTTTATTAGACGACATTATTGCTGAGTTCATTTACATTCCACATCCTTGCTCTTTTCTCATTCAACTTTGTGTATTTGATTTTCATACTACTTAAATACTAATCAGTAAACAGTTTTATCTGTAATATATTTCTAAGCACTTCTTATCAAGCAAATTATTTTGTTATGTAACATCCTAAATTATTCACATAAACTAATAGTATTTATTGTATTTACTCCGATAATTACTTTCTCTTAACTCTTGTAACTATTATATTCCTAGTTTTTTAAGTTCTTCCAGTATTTGTTTGAATGGAACAGGTTCTATGTTCATGTGCTCTTAGCTCTTATTTGACTGTAGATAAATTGTATTTAACATTAGACGCGACTATCAGTTGTCATTTACACTGTGTTATGTGATAATTATTCTTCATGTTGTGAATAAAGGAATTCTTTTTCAATACAGATATTTAGAGGTGTCAATTGAGATGGACACCTCAAGAGTTTGAGTTTGTACCAAATTTATGTTCAATTCCTTAATAAAAGAACCCTTCATCAGACAAATAGTCGTTTTCGAACTTCAATCAAATGTTTTGATAGATTTAACACACTGATTTATTTATCTATCTGTTTATAGGTACGTGAATTACGAAGTAATCTAGAACATTTTCAACGTGAACGAAATAATCTCTCAGCTCAATTAGCTTCAGCACAAGAAGAATTAACTGATCGTGAAAATCAACTTAAAACTCTAGAACAAGAATGTGTAAGTTTTTTTGTTGAATTTGGTAATTATTTAGTTGCATGATCAAATTGTTTAGGCATTATGTTATCAATCTGAATGTGATATGTTACACCTGCACGTAAACACGTCAGCTTGATATGCTTGAACTATTACGAGTTTACCTTAGTCGGAAAACGAGAGCCGGGATCGAGGATCCAGCGACACGACATTTTACTCTTATCCAAGTGTCCCAACCAAAAAGACTCGATATGAAGTAGAAGCGGTATTCTACAAGCATCCAGAAAGTACGAGGTCCGAGTCCAGAAGGGAATCAGGATCCCGGACTGCGAATCCGGTCCATAGAACGTTACAGATAATGAGATGAATAGGAAACAGTATCGAATTCTGTGACATTGACAGTTAACACGACCAATAAGAAACAACATTTGAAGTGGCTTTGAAATTCAGGACAACCGATATGAGACAAAATTGGAGTACATGACATTGATATATAGGACGACCATAAAAATGACTAGTAGCAATTAACCAATAGGAATTGACCAATAATTCTCTTAGGATATTGGATGAATATCCTAACAGATACGTGTTAGCTAACTAGACTGACTACTTGAGGCAGAAGGTGAGAGTGGAAAAGAAAGTTTATCTGGCTGACGAACGATATGCATTCAAAATTTACTTATCTAAAAAACACTCCTTCCTCTTAGAAAATGAATTCATTTCTTGTCCAATAACATTTCTGATTTTCATCAAATGACCTCATTCGACCGCTTCCGGTTGACTCCCTAAACGTTGTTCTCTATGTTCGTTTGTCAATAATCTTATCCCTACTTCCTTTTGATTTTATCTCAAACTTAAGTGTTCGGGACGTCTGTCACGTATTTACTTCCATTGCTTACTTTGACATGTAACACAGGTTGGTGTGGGAGCAGGTCAAATTTATCAACCAACCGGGTGAAGTTAGTGACTATTGATTTACGGCCTGTCGATAGATTCACACTGTTTTGTTTAAATTTGAATGATTCTAATGATGAATAGTCTAGAATGTTCAATGGCGGGTATCACAAAAGTAGAGTTACATTTATGATCAATTTTTCCCTAGATCAATACTGATTGACTATGATTATCCCTTTATTGAATTATTTAACGAATATTATTAAATTGCGAAAATTTAAAATTACACATATAAGCGAACAATATTATTGTTTTCGATTAGATCGTAATCAGACTTTACTCTAATATACATGAGTATATAAGAAAAAGTTAAACCAATCAAGGCAATTTGTGAGTCAATAATCACAATGAAATGAAATGAAAAAGATTACGTCACTACACACATAATAGTTAAAAGTACAAGTTGATAATAGTAGGAAGACAAGTGTACTGATAGTAGTAAGAAAATTATAAAATATGATAACAAAAGTTTTATCAATATTAGGTCAAACTTAAAATAATCATTACAAAACAGACGGGATCGAACTCCGTTGGGAAACGATGGAGGTATACGATAGATCACCCGAAAAGATCTAGATTTATCTACAATGTGACCACTATCTACCAGGTGTGCTAAGATCGAAGTGCGAGTTGTTTTTGACTGACCCTTCGTAAACTATGCTGGGAGATGTTCACTCATTTGTTGGTTAAGTTGTTTGGTAGTGCGCCCGATATAGCTAGCTAACTCCACAGAAGCAGCTGAATTTGTAAATGCACATGGAGGTGGCCAACTCAAGTAACTTATCCTTCATTTGGGTAGAAATCGCCGGTCGACTGGAGAAGATCAATGCACGTTTGGCTGCGTTAAATGTTCTACTAATTACTCTCATTAATCTGTCCTGAAGGGTATCGCAGTTCACGTCTCCGTTGAATTGTAACTTACTGTATAAAGGCTTCTTTTGGGCGGTCGAAACCACCGACTTCTTTTTTAGAATATACATAAAATTCTTCAGGAACGCACTAGGGTAGCCGATTTCGGTTAGTGAGCTGTTGATAAATTCCAGCTCCCGACTTAAAGTATCCACTGAACAGATCATATTTGCTGTGCTGGTGAAAAATCTAACCGAATTTCTTTTGTAGCGAATAGGTGTAAAACTACAATACACTTAATTTTTCAGTTTATCATTCAATAAATAAAACTATAGTTCAATGTTTATGCACTCATTGAGAAATAAAACCTGTTCATGATCGTCTCAAATATCATAGTCATGCGCTAAATCATTAGAAATTTTGACCTTCAAAATAACTTCTACTGTTTTCTGTGTAACCAAAATTCATATTGATAATAACATGAACGTACAAAAAATTTCGAACATGATTGTTAATACTGTATAGAATAGGATACATATCTATGACTTTGTAGCACATTTTCATTGTTCAATGTTCAACATACATAAAATATCTAGAATGTTGTTTTAAATTTTAATTCATTTGCTTTATGGATTGGACAAGCTGAAATACAACACAGTGTTGTATTCATACAAGACATATATAAACATATTTAAATAGGTTTAGATGTGTGCAATGAAATCTTTAGTAGAAATCACATTCTAAATGAACTAAAACGTATTTGAAAATGATAAATATTGCACATTTTGCTACACTCGTCTCTAGATATGCATAAAACTATTACGAGTTCACCTTAGTCGAATAACGAGAGCAAAACAATGCACCAGCGTCCCGGTAGGCTACTGTGATCCGATTGTCCCAACTGTACCATCAAGAAGTCTTGATATAGCGTAGAAAGTGTATTCTACAAACACTCAGCCAGTAATCAATCAATCAGTCCAAGCACTCAAATTGCGTTTATTTATACTCCATAGAGACGTACTTCGAAGAGTCGCAAATATAGAACACTAAAATGACACAGTCATAAATCACAGCCAAAGATTTTCCTAGTGAGAACTGTGATCTCAAGGTCAACTGATCGATCCATGAAATAAATCCGAGATAAAGATATTACTTATTAAGCGAGTTCTGAGGATCTAACATCCCCAACACATTTACTGAACGAAAATTAATTTCATTTTGAATAATCAAAATGCTATTATTACCTATTTAATCAAGATAGAGTAGGTTCGACAATGCCGGTTGGTGGCCTATGCTCCATTAGAGGTTATAGGTGTAAGTAATTCAGTAACAAACTAACTTACTTACTCCTGTTACCCCCCAATGGAGTATGGGCCGCCCATCAGTTTTCTCCAACCGACTCCGTCCTGGGCTTCCCTTTCTAGTTCTTTCCAGTTTTTGTTCATTCCTCTCATGTCTTTCTCTATTTCTCGGCGTAGTGTGTTCTTTGGCCTTCCTCTTTTCCTTTGAGATTGAGGATTGCAGGTGAGCGCTTGTCTTGTGACACAGTGAGGTGCTTTTTGTAGTGTGTGTCCTATCCACTTCCACCGCTTCTTCCTCATTTCCTCCCACAGTAGGTTGTTGCTGATGGTGTCTGGCCAACGAATCGGAAGTATTTTGCGTAGATAACTGTTGATAAATACTTATATCTTCTGGATGATGGCTTTAGTAGTTCTCCAAGTTTCCATTCCATACAGTAGAACTGTCTTGACATTTGTATTGAATATCCTGATTTTGGTTTTGGTTGAAGTAGTTTGGAGCTATAGATATTTTTCAATTGTAGAAGTCAGTTAGTAAGTAATTATTTAGCACGACTTGAGAAGATAAACAAAATCATTGATCAAATCCATATGAATCGTAGAAATTAAGAAAACGATTGCAACATATTAGAAGTCTAGAGAATAGACAATCTAGTTATGTATACTTTTGGTAATTGATATAAATATAGCATTACTATTGGGGTATGGACACTATTCACAAGATGGCTTATATGTTGTATACAACCAAAGCCTTACCTACAAGTTTCTTTCAAAAACAAGAGATTGAATTGCAGAACATGATCTGAGTATTTTCGATGTGTTGAATAAAACTAGACAATTACCTTAGATCAGACATCCTTCTTCTAAAATTGATCATGCATTATGAGTAGTTAATGATTTCTTGTAAAACTAATGGATTTTCCTGTACACTCTGCTAGCTACAATTGGTGCTTCCAACCTTATAGTCTTCGTTGATGGAGCTGTTTTGTAATAAATTTGTTAGGGATGTTAGATCGCCAGAACTCACTTGATAAAGGTCTTCATTTAGCGCATGGGCTGTTCAGTTGACCTTGAGATCACATTTTCCACCAGGGAAATCCTTGACTGTTATTGGTTGATGTATTATTTTAGTATGCTATTTTTGTGGCTCTCCAAAAGATGCTTCTATGATGTATAAATAAAATCGATTTGTGTGGTTGTGGACCTCATATTTTCTGGGTGCTTGTAGAATACACTTTATACGCCATATCATGACTTCTTCCTCTACTTAATGGGGCCTTGGGACGCTCGGATTAGAGTAGCCTATCATGTCTATGGAACATTTGTCTTCGCTCTCGTTTACCGACTAATGTGAACTCGTAATAACATTCAAGCAGATCAATTGAAGAGCATAATGAAATTACTCTATGAAATAATCTCGACACTATATTTAGTGAACATAATAACATAACCTAAATTAATTTTATTCTTACTGTGTGTGTGTGTATGTATATTTATTTAGTTCCAAAATTATTTACCTGAATTGGAAAAATTACGACGTTCAAATCATGAAGCGAATTTACGTGTAGCAGCTATGATTAAATTGACACAAGGACGTGAGCATTCTTTGACTGATCAAGATCGTGCTGCGGTATGTGTTGCATGGTTTATTGATTTTTTGGTTACAAAATATCGATTTGTTTTGTCGATTATACTTCGTCCTACTTATCATTGGCAGACATGTACTACTACTACTGCTACTACTACTATTACTACCACTACTACTGTGGTGCGCGCTACTTATAAGTAGTATATGACGCGAGTAAAAACGTAATGTCTGGCAGCAGAAGATGGGGGAAGATCAAGAAAGGAAGAGTTAGAAAACAATGGAATTTGTGTGAAACGCATGAATAGTGAAATGTCAGGCAATGGATTGATGTTTTGCAACAGGAACAGTCCAGTTCGATATGATGGATTGATATTTTGCAAATTAACGAATAACGATATGGTTTTCCTATTTTTCTAATTAACTCTGTAATTTTGATTGGATACAATTCGGTTGCCCTCACCTGTGCTCTCCTTCACTACATTGCTACTAATACTACTATTACTACTACTACTACTAATACTAATACTACTACTAATACTACTACTACTACTACTACTACTGCTGATAATAATAATCATCACAGGACTTTACTTTTCTGTATCAACGTTTCTTAGAGATTTCGCCATTCGATTACTTCAGATATGATCACATTTGATTGGTTAATAGAAGTGTCACTGAGATGACTGACGCACTGACATCAATTTAGGTGGGAAAAATCTCCTGAACTTGAGTGAATTTATATTTTCTTTTTCAAGTGTAATGTATCTTAATCAAAAGTATTGTCTGACAATAATTTTGAGGAATTTTTAAAGTAACCTTTTAAAATTTCAAACTGCTTGTTAGTTAACCAGTTAAAAACCATTAGGGTGTGGTGTGCAAATTACCACTGGTTTCGTGACGGTTGGTATCCAACGTGCTCTTAAGCTTCATAATTAGTCGTAATTGGTCCAGGATACACGTTGACTTCGCTGGTCCAGTTAATGGAACTATGCATTTAATTGTGGTCGACACCTTCTCAAAATGACCAGAAATAAGCCCGGTAATGCCGCCCACGACAATTAGACAATACAGATCCTCACTGAAATTTTCTTTCGAAATGGCATACCAGATGTGGTCGTATCTTACAATGGCTCTCAATTTACCTCTACCCAATTTCAAACTTACTGTCCACGGCTAGCCATTAAACACGCACGCTCGCCACCATACCACCTGCAATCGAATGAGCAAGCGGAGTGGTTTGTGGATACGTTTAAAAGAGCACTGCTTAAGTCAAAAGGGCAGGGTAAACCAGCTGACGCGTTACAAAATTTCTTTTATGTATATCGAACAACACCTAATAAGTTGTTACCGGAACAAAAGCCTCCGGGAGAAATCCTGAGTGATGGTAAATGGAATTGGGTATATATACCAAGAATAAAATAAAAATAAAATAAAATATGTATATATATATTGTTAAGTTACACATTTTTGAAACCATGAATCGATCAATGTTAGACCACCATTAGAAACCTGGAAGCACTGGACGGCCGTTTCGTCCTGGTATGGGACTCTTCAGCAGTGCGCATCTACGACTCCAGTGAAGTTCAACCTGTTCGGGTGTAGACACTAACTACCGAAGACTGTGTATGAGGTTGCGCAACTCCGTGAATTTGATCAAGTTAGACATTAACACCGTCAGATACCGGCTCAGTGGTCTACCGGTTAGGGCGTTCGCGCGCAATACCGAAGGTCGTGGGTTCGAATCCTGCGGGGTGCAGGAGTCGTGGATGCGCGCTGCCACTGATGAGTCCTATACCAGGACGAAACGGCCGTCCAGTGCTTCCAGGTTTCTAATGGTGGTCTAACGTTGATCGATTCATGGTTTCAAAAACATATATATATATATATATATATATATATATATATATATATATATATAACTTCGACTGGAGCCATTCTACGGTTACAGCTAGTCCCAAGCCTGGGCGAAAGGAGAGCGTTGGACATGAGATTAGCAACTCTATCCCGTAGAAAATAAACTCGTTAAACAAAACCTAGCCAAACAAAAAAAAATCAAACCATTTAAATCAACTCTGCCCTGAGAGTTTGAAGCTCTTCATTTAGAAGAGTTATAACACCCCATGATGAAAGCTGTCCTTTGAAAGTCAGGAGACAGATGCCTCTTATGACAACCAGTGCACCAATCATGTATATGTATAAATATATATAACAGAAATGTCAAAATGTATACTGGGTGCAATACTAAAGGAAATTTTCTATAATATGATAAATAAATTACTGTCCATGTTTTTTATCGATCAGTTATTCTTTTGTGTTTTTCTTGAAAAAACAGCTATCTACTATTCCACTCTTTCCAAATATATCACTTCATGGAACTTGGGCAGGAATGTCTGCTGGCTTGGAAAATATCAATGTTACATCTGGAAGATCTATGTATTTAGCCCCGTATCATACAGTCAGCGGTGGATCATTATCTCCACATTTAGCCGGGAGTGCATTTCAATTTATTGGCAATTCGTCCGCTTCTTCTGGTGGTGCTGCAGGTGCAGGTGTCGGGGGTGTCGGTACAGTCGGTGGCAGAGCATCTGTACCCGGTCAACCTATGGCTAGTCCAGATGTGATCATGTTGACGAGAATGTTACAAGAAAAAGAAAATATGGTAAATTATAATATATTCATATAAATTGAATATTGAACTGTTCAATAGTTTCAATAATCAAGGTTAATTTGATGAATTTTCAATATTTTTTTCTATTTTAAATTTTTTATTAGCTTCAACAACATTTACAAGAATTAACTAGATTAAGATTTCAAAATTCTGAACTTGAAATACGTTTAAAAGCCACCCAACGTGAATTAGATACAAAAGCAACTCGTTTAAATATACTGGAAACTGATCATCATGTAAGTTAATTTTAATGTTTGTCATAATTATTTGAATGTGAATAAAAATAGAGTTGAATTAATTTAGTTTCAGTTTCAATTTGGAGATTAATTAAGTGGCTTATATTCATCCTAGTAATGTGGGTTTGTCAGTTGACCCAACTTGTTTTCAAGGTAATCCACAGATGGAGCTTTGTTACGCCTGCACGTAAACACGTCAACTTGATATACTTGAACTATTACGAGTTTACCTAGTCGGAAAACGAGAGTGAGGATCGAGGATCCGGCGACATGATATGCTACTCAAATCCGATTATCATAGCCCCCATATTGAGTAAAAGTAAGAAGACTTGATATGAAGTAGAACATGTATTCTACAAGTATCCAGAAAGTACGAGGTCCGAATCCAGAAGAGAATCAGGATCCCGGACAAGGTCTCCGGGACCGGGTCCTGGTCATAAAACGTTACAGATAATGCGTATCTATACATTTGGTCGAATAGGAAACAGAATCGAATTCTGTGACATTGACAGTTAAGACGACCAATAGGATGCAACATGTGAAGTGGTATTGATAGTCAGGACAACCATAAAATTGACCAGAAGGAATTAACCAATAGGAATTGACCAATAATTCTCTTAGGATATTGGATGAATATCCTAACAAACTTCAGTCTACGTGTTCACGTCACAAGTTGCATTGTTTGAAAATTCAGTGAGAAAGTCGATAGTCAGTTGACAAGTAATTTGTTCTAGGTTTATATCCTCGTAAATTCTCTGTTTTGGAAGACTAGAAAAATGAGGCTATGTTAGTGACGAATTTACCATTCAATAATTTAAAAACTGTATGATAAAGGAAAAAGGTTTAATTGGACTAGTGTCTCATTCGATGACAATTCTGTGATTCTGAGAATCAGATTGGATGTGGTGATTTCAACCTTTTTCAATAGTTGACTGTCATTTTTTGGGGCAGAGTTTTGGATGTTTGTGTTTTTACACATTTGAAATCATCACTCAATCATTGTTAGACCACCATTAGAAACCTGGAAGCACTGAGAAACGGCCGTTTCGTCCTGGTATGGGACTCATCAGCAGTGCGCATCCACGGCTCCTGCTCCTCGCAGGATTCGAACCCGGGACCTTCACTGTCTATTTTTTAGACAAATTCTAGTTAGGGCGAACAAATACTGTATGCTAAGCCAAAGAAGGTCTTAACGTTGACATGGTTAGAAGCTCTATGTACTGACCAGAGGGTTCTCTTTGATTTGACGGCTATCGCACTGCAGTTTAGAGTAGCTTTTAAGTGTTTACTAATGATCAGTTCTTGGTCATTGTGTTTCTGGATAACAGACAGTTCAGTGTTATTCATCATCTATGTATCTGTAACTCGGTGATCAATATTCATAATGGTAAACTTGAAAGTAATTATCGGCAATTGGGACAATCTAGACCATTCATTGCAGAGTGCATTCTGCACAAACTTGTTTGTTAAAATCATGAATCGATCAATATTAGATCATCGTTAGGAACCTCGAAGCATTGGATGGCTGTTTCGTTCCAGTATGGTACTCATCAACAGTGACCATCGACGACCCCTAACCCGTGGTCGCGCAAGACCCTGGATTGATCGAACTTAGATATTATTTAGGCCTACTGGTCTAGAGGTTAAGGGTTCGCACACGAGACCGAAGGTCCTAGGTTCGATTACAGCGAGCGGGATTCATCATGGATGAACACTGTTGATGAATGCCATACCAGGACGAAATGACCGTCTTATACTTCAAAGTTTTTTAAAGTTGATCTAACACTGATTGATTCACAATTTTATTAAAACTAAAAAATCTCCACAACCATATAACGAAAACTCACCTGTTTAGGCAGTTCAATTTATTCTGGTACTTATACTTATGGTGTTGTCTAGAAAAGCAATGATTAAATCGTCTAGTTCAGAAAACACACACTGTTGAAATAAAATCATTTCCGTAGTTTAAGAATCATAAACTCACTGTAAATCCTGAATGTTTGTCGCTCAATGTCAAGTGTGCTCATAGGTCTTTATCACTGTGACCTATAAAGTAATGACCTCTCCCAACCAAAAAATAAAACAAGTTTACACATTTTCAAACGAGTGATTGACTACAATAAATTTTGGTAGAATAGTTAGAAGACGTAATTGATCTGAAAAATGTTGTGATGTATTTGCACCCTAAACATTTCGAACAGTCTGGTCATACACATGTACACTTGTCACGGCATTTTATGTGAACATTAATCAAAGGTCAGTTCAATCAATAAAAGTTCAAATAGATATAAGGTGATAATTGTGAATGAAGGAGAGAGAATAAGGAAGGGGAAGAAATTGTCACACTATCCTTGGTCATAAAAACAACTAAAAGATTACCATAGTAAAGTCAAGGTTATAAGAAATTGTTTCCGTACACATAAGGCTGGATTTAGATTTACGAAAAGCTGAGGCTTCCATAAACCTCAAAATTCGTCCTTCAATATTTCTATACAGTGTTTTGAAGGCTTTCTTCATGTCAGCCATATGCACTGTCTCAATTGTGTTTTGCGATCGATGAACATAAGGTTTTCTGTTTCCCTTGTGATGCTGTGTAAGAACATAACACAGGGTTAATAAGTGCTTTTAACTGATGTTCAGTATAACATTGTTCACACAGATGTCATTCATCAGTGCTGACGGAATCTCAGCACGGATACAGAAAGCTCGATTGGCCTTTGCCAACTTGCAGCACTTAAGGCGTAGGCGAGATATTCGTTTGCTAGCCAAAGGATGGGTTTACTGTGCAACAGTTTGCTCCCTAAAACTTTATGGCTGTGAAACATGGCCAGTAAGAATAGAGGATATTCGTAGATTATTAGTATTCGATTATAGATGTCTGCGAAGCATTGCTCGTATATCCTGGGACAACTGATTAAGCAATGCTGTCGTTAAGAAACGATTACTAGATAAGGATGGCGAATCAACAGATGAAGTATTAAAACTTGATCAGTTGAGGTGGTTAGGAAATGTGCTACGAATGCCTTACCACAGACTGCGATGTTTCGTGATGTAAGAGTAGGTTTGAAGAAAGCTAAGGGCAGCCATGAAGTCACTGACAAGTGGACTGAACCATGTTGGTAGATGTAGATGTTACGCCTGCACGTAACAAGTCAACTTGATATACTTGAACTATTACGAGTTTATCTAGTCGGAAAACGAGAGCGAGGATCAAGGATCCGGCGACACAACATGCTACTCTAATCCTATTATCCCAATCCCCATATTGAATAAAAGAAGAAGACTTGATGTGAAGTAGAACAAGTATTCTACAAACATCCAGAAAGTGCGAGGTCCGAATCCAGAAGAGAATCAGGATCCCGGATTAGGGATCCGGGTCCGGGTCCTGATCCTGGTCATAAAACATTACAGATAATGAGTACTTATACATTTAGGTCGAATAGGAAACAGCATCGAAGTCTGTGACATTGAGAGTTAAGACGACCAATAGGAAGCATCATGTGAAGTGGTATTGATAGTCAGGACAACCAATAAGAAACAACATTGGAGCACGTGACATTGATATCTATGACGACCATGAAATTGACCAATAATTGTCTTAGGATATTGGCTGAATATCTTAACAGCAGACTACCTGGTTGTTTTCCGTGAGGCAATAGTAACCAAGAGCTGGAGTTAGACTTTAATTGACATGGCTAATCTTCTGAATTCTTCATGACCGTTTTTTCGATTTTTAAATTTTAAATTGATTCCTCTGAGATACACTTTTTGAATCCTCATCTCTCCGATTACTCTTAATTCTTCTACTACATCTCAGCCAGTCAGATTCAACGTAGACTTTCGTACGTAAGTACATCAGTTCAAGTTGCCCACAACACATTAGAACGTACAGAGATGCAATTGTCAATTCAAATCCCATAATGGTAAAGATAGTAGAAGACATCATCTACAATTATGGGATATGAATTGTCAGTTGCATCTGTATGTGCTAATATGGTATGGCAACTTGAACTGAAATTCTAACCTTCTGAATTCCTCATCACTTTCATCTTTCTCTTTCTAAATTTACCTCACTGAATTATACTTCTTGAATAACATCTTCGAACCCTAATCTCTCCGATTACTTCTAATACATTTACTACCTCTTCTACTATGGGATTTGCAGTGACAGTTGCGTCTCTATGCTAATGTGGTATGGGCAACTTGAACTGACGTACTTACGTACGACGTTCTACGTTGTAACTTGACTGACCCATTGACTGACTGTTATAGATGTTTGTCTTCATCAGAACTTAATACATACCTTTTAAGCTATTCAGTTAAACTAAACAAAAAATTAAAAATAACATTTTAGTTAACTTCAACTGGTGGACTACATGAATTCAGTACAAGATCACCATCAAATAATCAATTGTCGAAAGAATTAGCCATATTACGTAAAACAAATCAAGAATTAAATATGAAATTTAATCAGCTACAAATGGAATTAGATGAACGGTCACGCGGGGCTGGTGCTGGTAGTACTACTTATGATAAATTGAAATCTTCAATGGTAAGTTTTTGAAAAGCGTAATCAATTCATTTATCGATTGTATTGGTTGTATTGAATCGTCTAATTGATATTTAGAGCAGAATTTGGTCAGTATGTTTACCTTAGTCAGTAAACCAGAGCGAGGATCGAGGATCTAGCGATCACGACACGCTACTCTTATCCGATTGTCCCAACCCCTCATTGAGTAGAATAAAAAAGCTTGATATGAAGAAGAACAAGTCCAAGGTCCGAGTCCAGGAGAGAATCAGGATCCAGGACTAGGCGTCCGGGTCCGAGTCCGGGTCATAAAACGTTACAGAAAATGCGTATTTATACAGTTAGTTAGGTCGAATGGGGAACAACATCGAATCCTGGGGCACAGACAGTAAGAACAACCAACAGGAAACAACATTTGAAGTGACATTGATAGTTAGGACAACCAATAGGTATCAACCAATAAAATTAGACTTACAAACAGTTATCTCAGGATATTGGAAGAATAGCCTAACACAGAGATGAAAAGATGGTGACTAGCAGTGTCCATTATCAGGACTTAATAATTAAGGTGGGTAACGCGCTGGTGTTTAAGCCGGACAGTACTTGGTTCGAGTCTTGAATACTTCTACACCTAGATGAACAGTCTTATTAACTAAAGTGAAATTCTCATGCTGAATTCCACTGCTAATCACATTCTATATACTCGATGTAAAATCATTTTCAAACTAGACTACTAACAAATGCTACAATAAAAATATTTTATCTTAGTAAATGTGTACTCAGCACTCTACTATTTTAGTGTGTATAAATTGAATTTTTATATCGACTTATATGTATATATAATTTTTAGGGATTACACACAACAGACTTTACAGAAATGGCTACATTGAGACGAGAACTAGCTTCTGTTAAAGCTGAACGTGAAGTAGAGGTACGCAAGTTTTGTTTCTTTTTTCATTTGGGAATGCGTGTATCAATCATTAATTTGATGAAAGTAACAGATGAAAATCTAAGTTTTACAGTAAACTTTATTTCACTATTCAGCAGTATAATATATTTTCATTGTATAGAACTGTGGTTGTTGTTAAGTTTCATTAAAATCCGGAATCGGTCAGTGTTAGATCACCATTAGAAATATGAAGCCATTGAATGGTCGTTTTGTTCTGGTATAGCACTCACCCTCAGTGCTCATCCACGATCCCCGTTTGTGGGAATCGAATCGAGGATCTTCGGTCTCACGCATGAACGCTTAAGGTAAAGCAATACTGATCCGGTATCTAATAGTGTTAATGTCTAACTTTGATCAATCAACGGTCTTGCGCAACCTCATGTCAGTGAGCACTACTAATGATTGAGATATGAGGACGAAACGGTCGTTCAATGGTTTCAGGTTTCCGATAGTGGTAGAAAAATGATCGATTCATGATTTCCAAGTAAAACAAACATCTTTATTAAGTCAGTCAGTCAGTTAAAACGCAGAACTTCGTACGTACATACATCAGTTCAATTTCCCATATCATATTATCACAGAGATGCAGTCGTCAATTCAAACACCATAGTAGTAGAGATAGTACTAGTATTAGCAGCAATCGACTGACTAGAATAAATTCAGATAAACAAATCACAGCTTACTTTGAGCAAATTTACGCAAACGGCTATACTATCTTTTATGACATAACTAGACAGACAGACTGATACAACACAGAACTTCGTACGTAAGTACATCAGTTCAATTTGCCACACGGCATTAATACAGAGACACAACTGTCAGTTCAAATCCAATAGTGATAGCAATAGTAGAAGTATTAGTAGTAATAGAGAAGATTAGGGTTCGAAGATATGATTCTAGAAGTATAATTCAGTGAGATAAATTTGTAAGGAGAAAGATAGAGATTATGAGGAATTCAGAAGGTTAGAATTAAAGAGAACACAAGGAGTGGCTGCATCTGAGCCACTGCAAACGATTCTGAGCCATGTCGTTCAAGGTCTCTAACCATCGGTGAATTTCGTCTCGCGGACCCCAAACATGTAGTCTACATCTATCAACATGACACAGTTCACTTGTCAGTGACTTCGTGGATTTGTGCCGTGTTTTCGTTTGGCCGCCCCTAGATTCCTCCAACCTACTCCTACACCACAAAACATAGCTTGTCACGGCAGTCGGTGGGTATGCATATGTTACACATGTCCCAACCACCTCAACTGATGAAGTTTCACCACTTCATGTGTTGATTTGCCATCCTTACCTATTACTCGTTTCCCAACGCCAGCATTGCTCACTCGGTTGTCCCAGGATATACGAGCAGTGCTTCAAAGACACCTGTGATTGAAGACAAGCAATCTACGAATATCCTCTACTCTTACTGGCCATGTTTCGCATCCGTGTATTGGGACACAGTGAATTACTGCACGGTACACTCCATTATTCAATTTACAATATAATTCATCCAGTCATCCAGTTTTTGTAATTTATTTCATATATTGACTAGTTAATAATCTTTTCTTTTAACCTTCTTACCATTTATCAATTAAGGTTGCAAATTTAAACAGTCAAATTGAAATAATCAAACGAGAACGTGATGATTTCAATGAAAAGTTTAATGCATCCAAAACTGATCTTACAGAGAAAATTAATCAATTACGTACATTGGAAGCTGATAAAGTATGTACACTTTTATGATAAAAAAAACACAATTATATTTGTCAATTAAAACAACATAAATCCAACTCGCATCATATTAATAATTTTTTAGAAAAAAACATTCGACATTCGTCGTTGGATTGTTGAGATTGTTAAGTTTCGTTAAACTTCTCAATCAATCAATGTTAGACCATTATTAGAAACCTGGAAGCATTGGACGGCCAACTCGTTCTAACATGGGACTCATCAACAGTGCGCATCCACAACCGGTGCCTTCGTGAATCGAACCCACGACCTTCGGCCTCACGCGTGAACGCTTAACCTCCAGACCATTGGTGTTAATGTCTAATGGCGATCAATCTAAGATATTGCGCGATCCCACCCATTGTCTTTGGTACATAGATGCCTAAAGATAAGACCTGTGGAGTTCAACGCTGTTAGGTGTAGGGGTTGTCAACCTGCACTGTTGATGAGTTCTATACTAGGAAGAGACGGCCGTCTAGTGTTTCCAGGTTTCTAATGTTGGTCTAACAATGATTGATTCATGATGTACACAAGATGGAATTATACAAATACGATCGATACAAACTATACAATTGTTTTTCTCCCATGTTTCCTACCATTTTCCATATTTATATTAATTTTCCTGATTCGGAGTTGCGCAACCTCATACACAGTCTTCGGTAGTTACTGTCTACACCCGAACAGGTTCAGCTTCACTGGTTGCGCAACTCCGTGAATTGATCGTGTTAGACATCAACACCGTTAGATACCGGCTCAGTGGTCCGGTGGTTAGGCGTTCGCGCACAATACCGAAGGTCCTGGGTTCGAATCCTGTGGGGTGCAGGAGTCGTGGATGCACACTGCTGATTAGTCGCATACCAGGACGAAACGGTCGTCCAGTGCTTCCAGGTTTCTAATGGTGGTCTAACATTGATCGATTCATGGTTTCAAAAAATGTGTAACTTAACAATCTTCGCAACCCCGTAATACAAGGATCATCAAAAAATGTATATATAATGAATTCGTTCAAACATTACATACTTTTCATTATAAAGTTGTAAATGTATGCTCACTAGCATGACTAGCATCTTGAGGAAATTCTAAGAGTTCCAATGAGAAGCTGTCACTGATGGAGTTCAACCGTATTAGGTGTGTAGCTAGTTACCCACCGAAGATAATCGGTGAGGTTGCGCAATATTGTTAAATGATTAACACCCTTTTTAATGCTAGCTCAGTGATCTAGAGGATAAGAGTTTGCTTGCGAGAACGAATGAGCTGAGTTCGATTCCCGCGAGCTCTGATGATGTTATCCCACAGTAGGACGAAACAGATGTTCAGAACTTCCAGCTCTAACTACGATCGATTCACGATTTCAATGCGGTTTTATTAATCATCACAATTTTATGGTTAAGAGCATACACTACTCACTTGTTTGAACAGAATCTCATTGACAAATAGTTAACTAGAGTTTCATAAAATAATCTTTTCCACCTATTTTCTTCTTCTTTTCAATAAAGGATAAACTTATTTTAGAGAAAGATAGTTTACAAAAGAAATACGAGTCTGTTTTAAGTCAATTAGGTGAAAAATCGGAAAAACTTAAACAATTAGAACAAGATTGTGTAAGTCTTCGATGATCAATTCTTTTTCTTTCTAAATCTCATAAAATATCGATTTTTCGAAATTTGATTATTGTATTTATCGTTCGTTTGTTTTACTTTACTGATTGACATATTGATGACAAAAATGTGACTTTTTATGTCAAGTCCATATTGGTTTGTATTGATTTTCGTAGTTTGCTTACTCAGTACTCCCAGTACCTTCATTTACCTATTTACATGCACATAGCAAAGCACACACATTAGAATATGTTGGCGAGACATAGATGGATTAAAGCATGACTGCATTAGCTGAGCGCTGATTGGCTAATTTCTATCCAATCAGCGCTGGTTGATACTTGGTGAGCATTCTAGAAGCTTCTCATGTGAAAACTATGAGAATACCAACGTTTTTTTCTTATTTCACCTTCGCTTCGGCTTCTTACTTCCATTTATCCTTGCTATTTAGAATATAATCTTTTTTCTTGTTCAACCACGTTCTGATTTGGGGGACTTGTCGATTGTATTGTTGTCAGAGAGAGAATACTAAGCAATACGAATAGCTGAATTTACTAAGAGAGAAATATAACAGAAGAGCAGGGCGAAAAGTACATATTTGCATTGCTGAGAACGTTTCTAAGAATTCGAAAATCAATTTCAAAGTCATCACATAAGAAAACGCAACATTTTTTTTCCTGGTTGCCAAGGCTGTAGCAATTACAAAACATAAACCTGAATTCTTATGTGTCGAAAAAGAGGACGTAATCAACTTATTGTCACGACCTTCGTAATTATTTTCGAAAGCGTTTGATTTGTTAGCCCATCAGTGTTGGTTTTTTGTATTTCTGTTTATTTTATTGTGAAATCTGCACCAGAACGTATTGTTATTTTGTGTACTGTATAATCATCTTCTCGTTCATTCATATCTCGAAACTTATATGCATCCCCTCAAATCTTGGTCACGCAACCTTTCTGTTTTTTCAAGTATAATTATGTACATCAGTTACGTCTCTGTGCTGACGTGATATGGTGACCTGAACTGATGTACTTATGTACGAAGTTCTGCGTTGTATCTGTCTGTCTGTCTATATCAGCGTTTTTAAACGTAGAAATCCCCAATCAATGATTGTTAAACCAACATTAGAAACCTGAGAGCTCTGAATAGTCATTTTGTCCTGGTATAGGACTTACCAGCATAGTGCATCTGAGACTCCTGCACCCCGCAGGATTCGAACCTGGGAATTTCGGTTTTGCGCTTGAACTCCTAACCTCTCCAGTGCTAAGCCGGCATCCATCGGTGTTAATGTCTAACTCTGATAAATCTAGCGTTTGTCTACAACCTCATCCATTTGTATTTGGTAGTTACTATCTTCACCCGACAGGGTTGACCTCCACGGATCACGTCTTCTTACTTACTATAACTCTGAGAATCTCCTTACAAAGCTATTCACATGTGAACAAATTGTACTATTTTTCAATCAGTTATGGGGATCGTTGTTTCTACACGTTGAAATCATATCAGGACAAAACGGATGCCCTGTGGTTCTAAATTTCTATTGATTCGGTCTAACAATCAACAGTTTGTAAGAATATGCAAAGAGAAAGTGTATAACACTATATACTGGTGATTTAATTTCATTGTTTAAGTATGCTTAACGTAAATATATTGATAAATCGAGTCAATTAGAAGTAACCAAATGAAAAGGCCATTTGATGATCATCTGAAAAATATGACGAAGGAATGTCATTGGTCAAGAAATGGATTTATTTTCTAAGGAAGTGATATATATATATGTATATATATGTATATATGTATATATGTATATATATATATATATATATATATATATATATATATATATTCGGTTGCCAAATAAACTTTCTCTTCTGGTCTTACCATTTCAATCAAGTATCAAGTTTTACCATGTATCACGTTCAGATCACGGAAACCGTACATCATAACATCAACAATATAAGATTATTTTTATCACTTACTGATAACTTTTCGTAATATGCAATGAATAAGAAAGGGTAGGAAAATGTTTCATTATAGAGTTATGGAGACTGTTATTTTACATTGTTAGACGACCGTTAGAAACATGTAACTAATGTACAGCCGTTTCATTCTGGTCCCGGTTTCGATCCTTGTGAGTAGCGAGTGTCGCGGTTGGGCACTGAAGATAAGTCCTATATCAGGACTAAACGGCCCTCAAGTGCTTCCATATTTCTAACAGGGATCTAACTGTTGGGTATGTTAGATCCTCAAAACTCGCTTGATAACTGACTTATTTTGGATTTCACGTTTGCCAGCATGGGCTGATCAGTTGACCTTGGGATTTCATTTCCCACGAGGAAAATCCATGGCTGTGATTGGCTACTGTGTATTTTAGTGTGCTATTTTCTTAACTGTCCCAAGGACGTTTCTATGATGTATAAATAAACAAGAGTTGTGTGCTTGATTGTATTGTGTGCTGGCTGGGTGTTTGTAGAATATACTTTCTAAGCTTACAAAGCCTTGTTACCTTAGTTTGGGGATTCGAGGTAGCCTACCTGGACGCTGGTTTATTGTCTCGTTCGCGTTTCTCGACTAAGGTAAACTCGTAATAGCCTCAAACATACTTAGTGACGAACCCAATACTAACGATGACTGATTCACAATGACTGATTTCAAAGAAACTATGGATGGAGTCTGACAAAACTAAGAGGCACAAAATTATTGATTAATTATAGTGTTGACAAAATCTTTGAGGTAAGTGAGTTTCAAGGATAATTTGATTTCAACTGGTAGACAATACACAAACACGACTTTGCACTTATGAATGCTGATCTTAACCTACTACGATATATATGAGAATACTGAAGCAGGCGAGGAAGATTGTGTTGTGTAAATTTACACTCTTAGTCAGTTAAAAACGAAAACGTTACATTGAATACTCTATTTGCACACCATCTTTGAGTCGTGACTTCCAACACTCCATCCTTCTTCCATTCCTGTTGTTGCTTTCTTTCCTTCTTATTGGTACTCCATTTACTTCTTGCTTTTGCTCCATTTGCTTTCTGTTTTCCTCTTCTGACTGTGAGACTTCTTCTTTCACGTCCCTTCTTATACTACTTATATCGTTCGTATAAGTAGCACACACCACATATATATCTGTTAAATGTTCAATGATTCAACAATTGACACTGTTAAAAAAAATTGATCATAAATTCTATTGTAATTAATTTTGTTTGTTTATTATTTCAGTCAAAATCACATATTGAAGAAATTAAACGACAAAAAGCTGATCTTGATGATTTAAAACATCATGTTGGTTATTTACAGAATACAATAAAAGAACGTGAAACACGTATTGAATTAACTGAAAAAGAATCTGTAAGTTTTCTAGTGGAATTTGTTATATTTCTGTAAACTTTTAAATTATTATACATTGAAATCATGAATGAATCATTGTTAAACGACGATTAAAAACCTGTAAGCACTGGATTGCCGTTTAGTACTGGGATGGGACTTCTCAGAAGTACGCGTATACGACTTCTGCTACTCGTAGAAGTCGGAATGAGGACCTTCGGTCTTGTGCACGAAGGGTTAGCCTTTGGACCACCGAGCTGGCATCCAACACTGTTAATAGACCCATGTTTCATGTTAATATGAATTATTTACTTACTTACGCCTGTTATCCCCAAATAAGCATATGCCGCCGACCAGTTTTTATCCAACCAACTCTGTCCTGGACTGCCCTTTCCAGTTCTTTCAAGTTTTTGTTCATTCTTCTCATGTGTTGCTCGATTTCTCGGAGTAATGAGTTCTTTGGCCTTCCTCTTTTCCTTTCAACTTGAGGGTTCCATATGAGGGCTTGTCTGATGACGCAGTTAGGTGCTTTCCGTAGTGTGTGTCCTATCCACTTCCACCGCTTCTTCCTGATTTCCTCCTCCACTGGAATCTGGTTGGTTCTCTCCCACATTAATTTGCTAGTGATGGTGTCTGGCCAACGAATCCAAAGTATTTTGCGTAGATAACTGTTGATAAATACTTGTATCTTATGGATGATGGCTTTGGTAGTTCTCCAAGTTTCCGCTCCATATAGTAGAACTGTCTTGACATTTGTATCGAAAATCCTGATTTTGGTTTTGGTTGAAAGTTGTTTGGAGTTCCAGATATTTTTCAACTGTAGAAATGCAGCCCTTGCTTAGCCGATCCGCTCCATTGTAAGAATATTGAAACTCACTAAAGCACTATAATGATGGCCGAAGTAACCCCGATCCAAATGACAAAAACTCTCATTGAAAACAGTTGATACTATTAAATAATACAATTTTATTGATCTAATTACTAGAAAATTACGTCTTCTCCTTTGCGTTTCATTCATTTTATTCTGCATATACATTTAGATAAAAAAACCCATAATTTTACAATTGCGTAATCGAATAAAAAAAAATAATAATTTTGTTTTAATTTATTACTTACTACACAGTTTAAATTACGCGATGAATTAACAAATATACGTAAACAATTGTCAACAGCTGAAGCAGAAGTCAAAAGTTTACGTGATGATGCAGTTTACAGGGAGGAACGAATTAAACAAATACAAAATCAATATGTAAGTTATGCTTAGTTATTTATTATTAGTTGAATGGTATAATGAACTATTTCATCACGACTGTAGCTGCTACCTTGATGTGATGGTTGGGCTTGCTTATCGTGATGATCCGACCGAACCGTATTGGTTGGCTGAAACATATGTTCCTGAAGGTTCTACCATGCCTGGCAGGTCGACTGGAGAAGGATGAGACTAAAAGCAGCTACTCAAGGTGTGAGGGGCGAAGTCGTACTGCTGACTACTGCAGAGGGGTGTGACAGCAGGAAGGTGTTTCCCTCGAAAAACCAGCATCTGCAGTGATTCTGTCTTCTCACCAGGAAGGAAGGGGTTAGAAGAGGTTGACCCTAAAAATGTCACACCTCACATTATCTCACTTCGTACAGGTACGTACTTCAGTTCAAGTTACCATAACATAGTAGCACAGTGGCGCGATTGTCATTTCAGACCCCATAGTAGTTTAGATAGTAGACGTTTTGGTTGTAATCGGAGAGATTAGGGTTCGAAGATGTTATTCAAGAAGTAGTATCCAGAGAAATAAATTTAAAAAAAGGAGAGCTATAGAAGAATAAAAGTGATGAGGACTTCAGAAGACAGAAAGTATAAACGATTTTGAGCCTCGTCATTCGAAATTGCTAACCATCGGTTACGCTCATCTCGCGGATCCCAACCAGATAGTCTACACCTAGTAATATGGTTCATCCAAGTTGTCGGTGACGTCATGGATTTGTTCCATGTTTCGGTTTGGCTACCGCTAGATTTCTTCCAGCCTGTCCCTACACCACAAAACATCAGTCATTGAGGGAATCGGTGTTTAGGCACATGTAACACATTTACCAACCAGTTTAACTGTTGAAGTCTCATCACTTCATCATTTGATCTCACAACCTTTGCGTTGTACCCGTTTCCTAACAACAGCATTACTTACTCCATTGTTCCACGATACACGAGCAATGCTTTGAAGATATTAGTATATATACAATTGTCATGTATCAAAACAAATGTGCATAACTTTTCCTATCCAGTGTAAACTTCAAAGTATTTTAAGTGCGATAAATAATGAGTGATTTGTTATACATTGTATACTTTGAATCTGATTCATTAAAACTGTGAAATCAGTTTCAATAGCAAGCAAGGATAATAGGTCGATAGACCTGCTTTAATCCTTGCAGAATATTTTTCTCAGCGAAGATCCAGCCTCTTTTTGAAACTGTTTACTTAATGTAACTGATAGCACTTATTCAGGCAAGCAAGCTGTTCCAGTCATTCACTAGTCAATGTAAACAGCGGAATCAAATACTGAGTTTATTCGATCGAGATTGTTTAATCTTCTTGCAAGGACATCGAAGTGTTAGGATATTCATCCAATATCCTAAGAGAATCATTGGCCAATTCCTATTAGTTAATTTCTACTGGTTCATTTTATGATCGTCCTAGATATCAATGTCACACACTCCAATGTTGTTTTTTATTGGTTGTCCTGACTATCAATATCACTTTAAATGTTGCTTCCTATTGGTCGTCTTAACTGTCAATGACACGGACTTTGATGCTGTTTCCTACTCAACCAAAATGTATAAATACGCATTATCTGTAACATTATTCCGGGATCCTGATTCGCTTCTGGACTCGAACCTCATACTTTCTGGATGCGTGTAGAATACAGGTTCTACTTCATATCAAGTCTTCTTTTTTTACTCAATACAGGGGTTGGAACACTGGGATTAGAGTAGCCTGTCGTGTTGCTGGATCCTCGATCCTTGCTCTTGTTCACTGAATAGAATGAACTCGTTACGGTTCAAGCATATCAAATGACGTGTTTACATGCATGCGTAACACGAAGTTGTTGAGCGAACGAAAAGATACGACATGATAACACCTAGGTCGTTATTCAAGATAAAAAATGCCATAAGAAAATCACTCCTTATTGTATGATAAGATAAAAGAAAAATGTTTAAACATCTTAAGCGTTCGTCCTAAGAGAGCCTAAAAAGACCCGTCATCAGCTTAGTTCCGAAACGTTGGACACGCTCATGTGCGATAGCATACTTATTCAAACTCAGCTGTTTAGCTGCAGTACTCAGCGTGAAGTCTCACCTAGATAGGCTCTATTTCTCAGAACAAATACCTCATTTCACTTAATTAATATTAGAACAACACATATAAGCGAACAATATGGTTGTTTTCGATTAGATCGGCATCAGGCTTTACTCTAATATACATGAATATTTATATGAAAAATGTCAAACCAATCAAGGCAATTTGAGTCAATAATCACAATGAAATGAAAAGGATTACGTGACTACATACAATAGGCAAAAGTACAAGTGGATAATAGGAAGACAGGTGTACTGATAGTAGTAAGAAAATTTATAAAATATGATAACTAAAGTAGGTCAAGGGTGGATGAATAGAATTCAAATAATCATCAAAAACATCAAAAACATTACGTAATAAGCAAATGTGTAAAAATAAAAAATATGATGTCAATCGTTAGTTACGTCATATTCGGCCACGGAAGAGATAGGGGTTTCACTAATTTCTTCTGAACCCAAAAATTGGGGGTTGAATGTACGTACGCCTATGGCTTCTGCAATGTGCAGGAGACGGGATCGAACTCCGTTGGGAAATGATGGAGGTATACGAGACAGATCACCCGAAAAGATCTAGACTTATCTACAATGTGAACACTGTCAACCAGGTGTGCTAAGATAGAACTGCGTATTGTTTTTGACTGACCCCTCTTAAACCATGCTGGGAGATGTTCACTCATTCGTTGGTTAAGTTGCCTGGTAGTACGCCCGATATAGCTTTCTCCACAGGAACAGCTGAGTTTGTAAATTCACATAGAGGAGGCCAACTCTTTTGCTTATAACGTAATGATTTTGAGGTTTTTTAATGATTATTTGAAGTCTATTCATCCACCTTTGACCTATTATTGATAAAACTTTAGTTATCGTATTTTATAATTTTCTTACTACTATCAGTACACCTGTCTTCCTACTATCAACTTGTACTTTTGCCTATTATGTGTGTAGTGCCGTAATCTTTTTCATTTCATTGTGATTATTGACTCAAATTGCCTTGATTGGTTTTAATATTTTCATACATAAATATTCATGTATATTAGAGTTAAGCCTGATGACGATCTAATCGAAAATAACAATATTGTTCGCTTATATCTGTGTTGTTCTAATTTTTACAATGGGAATCTTTAATACTCAATTACTATTGTTTATTTACTAATGTATTTCCATTATTCAATCTCAGATTACGTAATTCAATAAAATTTATTTTAATTAATAATTTATTATTATTATTATTATAATAGACAGAAGAATTAGCAAGGCTACGTTGTACTAATCAAGAACAAGTAACACGTATTGGACATTTAGAAATGAAATTAGATGAGAAAGGACATCAATTAAAAAGTCAAACAAGTGAAATTGTAGGTTTTTATTTTTTATTTTAAAAAAGAAAAATGATATTGATTTTTTAAACTGTATACTACTGTAGGCGAATTTGAATGAAACAACCAATCAGAAATAGAAAGCAACTATTTGTTCTTTGTATAATGTATATGACTCTTCGACGGTACTCATCAACTGCTCAGATTACGGATTTAAACAGTCAGCTGATTCACATTTCTAAATTCAATAAAAATTTGTTTCTAAAACACTGTGAATAATGAATGTTAATCAGTAAATAGTCAAGATAATTCTTGGTAAAATTTTAAATAGAGCAGATTTTATGTGCTCACTACTGGACTTCAGTGTGAACGAACGATCGAGTGTGCAATAAAATAAAACTTCCTTTCCACTTCCGTTTATGATTATACTTAGGCTAACCCCGTTTGTGCAACGGCAGTAGTAAGAAGCCAAATACGGTGTTGCGGATGAATTTGTTTTATGCGTGCAAGCAAAACGAAGCGAACCAATTGAGGCTCCGTAATTCGAATGAGTACAATTTAAATCCTTTAACGAGGACCAATTGGAGGGCAAGTCTGGTGCCAGCAGCCGCGGTAACTCCAGCTCCAAAAGCGTATATTAAAGTTGCTGCAGTTAAAAAGCTCGTAGTTGAATCTGGGTTGTGCGGTGGCATGCCGTTGCTTGTTCGCGGTTTTGGTTACGATCAGGACCTGTGTTCGGCTCGGTGTAGTAACTGTGCAGCCTTTCAGCCGTGTCTGTGATTACGGGTGTTGATGGGATGATGAGCTTGTCTTGTTGTCCTGTTGGCATGCTTCCGGATGCCTTTAACCGGGTGTCGGGAGCGGACGGCATCTTTACTTTGAACAAATTTGAGTGCTCAAAGCAGGCCTATGCGCCTGAAAATTCTTGCATGGAATAATGAAATAGGACTTCGGTTCTATTTTGTTGGTTTTCGGATCCGAAGTAATGGTTAAGAGGGACAGACGGGGGCATTTGTATGGCGGTGTTAGAGGTGAAATTCTGGGATCGCCGCCAGACAAACTACAGCGAAAGCATTTGCCAAGAATGTTTTCATTGATCAGGAGCGAAAGTCAGAGTTTCGAAGACGATCAGATACCGTCGTAGTTCTGACCATAAACGATGCCAACTGACGATCCGCGTTGGTTCTATAATTGACATCGCGGGCAGTCCCCGGGAAACCTTTAAGTCTTTGGGCTCCGGGGGGAGTATGGTTGCAAAGCTGAAACTTAAAGGAATTGACGGAAGGGCACCACCAGGAGTGGAGCCTGCGGTTTAATTCGACTCAACACGGGAAAACTCACCCGGCCCGGACACTGTGAGGATTGACAGATTGATAGCTCTTTCTTGATTCGGTGGTTGGTGGTGCATGGCCGTTCTTAGTTGGTGGAGCGATTTGTCTGGTTAATTCCGATAACGAACGAGACTTTAACCTGCTAAATAGTAGACTGGTCCTCTGTGCTCGTTTAGGGCATGGCTTCTATTGCTTCTTTATGGAGTAGTGTGGTCGTGTTCCGGCGGGTGCGGTGCCAGTTTTTACTTCTTAGAGGGACAAGCGGCACACTTAAGTCGCACGAAATTGAGCAATAACAGGTCTGTGATGCCCTTAGATGTCCGGGGCCACACGTGCGCTACAATGACGGTGCCAGCGAGTCTGGAAACCTGGCCCGAAAGGGTTGGGCAAACTGTTTCATCACCGTCGTGACTGGGATCGGGGCTTGCAATTATTCCCCGTGAACGAGGAATTCCTGGTAAGTGCAAGTCATAAGCTTGCGCTGATTACGTCCCTGCCCTTTGTACACACCGCCCGTCGCTACTACCGATTGAATGGTTTAGTGAGGTCGTTGGATTGGTGTCGTTGTAGTGGCTTTGCCGCTCGACTGATGCCGAGAAGATGACCTAATTTGACTATTTAGAGGAAGTAAAAGTCGTAACAAGGTTTCCGTAGGTGAACCTGCGGAAGGATCATTAACAGTATCCCAAAAATAAACAAATTATATATTTTGAATTACCCTGACCGGGGTACCTAGCCTGTCATATGCTCTGATGGTGTTCTCGTGACTTTCGGGTTGCCTGATCTGCCAAGGGCGATGGGACAGTGCATGACGCTATTGTTGTGTGCTAGGTTCAAAGAGAGTTGTATGCGATATGTGTACACTCCGCCCCGTTATTGTTCTCCTTTCAAACATTTTACACTGTTTAAGCGGCTCGATTTGGCTTGCCATTTACGGGTTTGCTGCCTTGCATGCACCTGGCTTCGTGCTGGACTGCATGTACGCTGGCTTAGCGGTAAATATCCTAGGCTTCAGCGTTAACCATTAGTCCAATGCATTTGGGTAACCAATGTAAAGGATTATTGGCGTACAACTTTGAGCGGTGGATCACTCGGCTCGTGTGTCGATGAAGAGTGCAGCCAACTGTGTGAATTAATGTGAACTGCATACTGCTTTGAACATCGACATCTTGAACGCATATTGCGGCTACGGGATATCCTGTGGCCACGCCTGGCCGAGGGTCGGCTTTACATATATCACGACGCACATTGAGTCGTGGATTGGCCGTGTGCCTGCCGGCATGTATACTCGTATATCAACGCGGGTTGCTGCTGGTCAAAGGCTCCGTCCGAATAATCCGGCCACAGCCTAGTCCGGTCTAGATAACCAGATTGAGATGCTGCGGTGGGTTGTGCTCGAGTCGTGGCTTAATGGTATTATACACGCTCGGGAGAGACGCACCTATCGTATGCTATACAAATCACTTGATCTTGGCTCTATGATTTGGTCTATGGTTTGTGCCGTTGGTGCGCACTTATCCAGCGCACACATTATATAATTGACCCTGACCTCGGATCAGACGTGATTACCCGCTGAACTTAAGCATATCACTAAGCGGAGGAAAAGAAACTAACAAGGATTCCCTTAGTAACTGCGAGTGAACAGGGATTAGCCCAACACCGAAGCCTGCGGTTGTTTGATCGTGAGGCAATGTGGTGTTTAGGTTGGCTTCTGGCATTACTGCTCTTCCCCAAGTCCAGCAATGAGTACGGCTTCCCATTCTGGCCCATAGAGGGTGAAAGGCCCGTGGGGGTAGAGACCAAGTGTGACAGTTCTGCTCAGAGCTCCCCTTAGAGTCGGGTTGTTTGTGAATGCAGCCCAAAGTGGGTGGTAGACTCCATCCAAGGCTAAATACTTACACGAGTCCGATAGCAAACAAGTACCGTGAGGGAAAGTTGAAAAGTACTTTGAAGAGAGAGTAAACAGTGCGTGAAACCGCTCAAAGGTAAACGGGTGGAGTTGAACTGCAAGCCCTGGGAATTCAGCTGATGAGTGTGATTTGTGCTTGGGCATACTGGCCGCCTTCAGTGTCCGTTTAACCGCGGTCCTTAGTAGTAGTAGTAGTAGTAGTAGTAGTAGTAGTAGTAGTAGTAGTAGTAGTAGTAGTAGTAATAGCAGTATCCACAAATTTAATATAAAAAGTAATGCTTACTTTATCCAACATATATTGTTGTTGTATATCTAATGTGGATGTTTCAACTCGAGTTAAATTCGTGGTTAATTGTTCACGTGCAATATCACGATCTTCAATTGCTTGACGTAAACGTACTTGTAAATCAGAAATTAATAATTGTTGATTAATTGAATCAGTAGTAGGATGTACATCGGATTGAAGTGATGAAGATAAATATTGCTGATCGATTTGTTTATTTAAGCATTTAATCTATAAAATGAAAAGAAGAATAATAAATTTTTATGTATTTTACCAAATACTAATGATATTAATGCAGTTATAAGTAGCAGTCGTTGTTACCATGTTTCATGGTCAACAGTTAACCAGTAGAGAAAATTTGTAGCTCAAGTAGATGATTTTATATTTGAGTTTCGTACTCTGTTATCGGAGGTGGACGAGACACGCACTAAAGAAAGCATCTGACAGCATATCAAGGCCAGACGAGAAAAAAAGACCAAAGGACACGTTACGCTTATGATTGGAAGCATGGTGGAAAAAACTTGTAGCTCAGGTGGATGATTGTGGTGGTGTGGCATACAAACCAACAGAATCAATTCAATCAATCCTATGTAGACCAAAGGACAAAATGGCAAAGGAAGAAAAACCAAATATCATCTACAAAATAAATTGCTCAGATTGTGAAAAACACTACATACGACTAAGTGGAAAGGGCCTCTTCAGCTCCGTTTACGTGAACATCAATTAGCAGTCAAACGCCACGACAATTCTTCGCTTATATCAATACACACCGACAGTTATGGACACACATTTGATTGGAACAATGTGGAAATACTGAGTAGGGGGAGGACAAAGAACACTGGAGAATTTTTAGAAGCTTGGCATTTAGGTCAATCAGCAATCAACAAACACATCGACATTGACCTAATCTGTCAACCAATTAGAAAAATCATAGGTAACATAGGATCGGGAAACAGATCAAAAGGAGGATGCAATCAAAACAAAGATGCAAACAACGACAGATTTAAGGTCAACAGCAACCAATCAAGATCGAGGTTAACAGAGCAAGCTACAGGTCGAACGTGGAGAAATTCGAATGCTTCACTTCTATCTGAAGTTTGTTCTGATGATGTTGTTCAGAAGAACAATGAAAGCTCAGAGAACGAAACACCACCATGATTGGAAGCATACGTGAAAAGAATAAACAGCAATTGGGTAGATCCGGAAAGGAAGATCCAGAACAGAATAGTCTAGAGAATGCTAGTCGACTGCCTATACTTCATTACAAGGGTAACAGGCGTAAATGAGTAACTGACTAACTAACTATTATCTTTGTTAAGTTGTCTCACTATCATCGAATTAGTATTGACTTCCTACTCACTTGTAACATATATATATATGCTTCCTAACTACAAAGTTATCAGTTTTAATTCAAAATAAAAATTATGAGATCAATTAAAGTTTCCAATGTAAACTTATTCAGCAATCAACTATATGATTGCCTATAATATTGTAACAGAAAAATGCTTGACCAAATAATGATATGAATTCCACTGTTGCTCGGTACATCGATCTGTGTAAGGTTACACCTACAGCCTAATGATAAGTGCAGTATAGAACCGTGCCCAAATTTACTGCTTTCTTAGTACACACAGTTTTATTGGAATCATGACTCGATCAATGTGAGATCACTATCGGAAACTTAGAAGCAGATATATAACTTATTAGCAGTGTGCATCCTTGACCTTGTGAATCAAACCGTGGGCTTTCGGTCTTGCATGTGAACACTTAGCCTCTTGATGACTGAGCCAGTATCTAATCTATTCATGATCATGCCCAATCATCATCCATCATCTTCGGTGAGTAACCCGGTCTAAAACACTTTACAGTTGAACTCCACTGGTCACATCCTCTCAACAGAACTCCAAAAATTTTCTCATAAAACTAATCACTAGTGAATACATGATAATTATCAGTACTAGGGTTTTGTGAAATGTTGATTTGCATTGTTTTCGATCATTTCCTTCAAATATCTTCTGAACTAGTTCATAAAAATGTCTGCTAAAAATGAGAAACTTTAAACAGATCAAAACTGAAAAGTAAAAGCTTTCACCTGTGCTTCTTTACGTTCTAGTTCTTTCTGAAGTTCTTCAATTTTCTGCGTCAACTGATGCGTAGGTTGAGTTGTAGTACTCTACAGATCGATTTTCAGACAAAATAGAAATAAAAAATAAAAGTCATCAATCAGTAAAAATATCATATATATATCTAAAAGTAGCCTACATGGAATTTGCACTTCATTATAGATGTTTCAAGAAGAACGTTTATTTTTAAGATTAGATGAACGGAGATAATTATATCGCATTATAATTTGCTGACGATCGATCATATTTGAATTACAGTTGTAAGCTAAGCGTTTTAAGTATACCATAATTTCGAATGGTGCTGTTTTCAATCACAAATCAATATTCATATATGAGAGAATGAATAGGAAAGATGAACTATGATGAAAAGCGAATTTGAATTTTCAAGTGACCTTGACTAACTCTGACCCACTCGACTGATCCATAAACAAGATAGATCAGTCAAATGGGTCAGAAACAGAAACATGGCAGAAATCCATGAAGTCACTGACAAGTGGACTGAGTCATGTTGGTAGATGTAGACTACATGGTTGGGGTCCGCGAGACGAAATTCATCAATGGTTAGAGACCTTGAATGACATGGCTCAAAATCGTTTGCAACGGCGCAAGTACATCCATTCGTTGTGCTCTCTCAAATCCTAATCTTCTGGATTCGTCACCACCCCTACCTTTGTCTTTCTAACCTTATCTCACTGAATTATACTTCTTGAATATTATCTTCAAACCCTAGTCTTCTTCATTAACAGTAATACCTCTGCTATCTTTAACACTATGGGATTTGATTTGACATTTGCGTCTCTGTGCTAATGTGGTATGGCAACATGAACTTATGTACATACGTACGAAGCTCTACGTTAGAACTGACTGTTCCATAAACAGTATAATTGGATATTTAGGAATATTAAAGATACCCATTGTGAAAATTATTTAGTGACGTAATCTTTTTCATTTCATTGTGATTACGACTCAAATTGCCTTGATTGGTTTAACATTTTCATATATAAATTTTCATATATATTAGAGTAAAGCCTGATGACGATCTAATCGAAAACAATATTGTTCGCTTATATGTGTTGTTCTTAATTGGACATTTGATGATATTAACTTTAGATTGAACTTTAACTGTAGAAGACGTATGACCTTGAAGTGATATGTCTGTTCCTGATTGACTGACCTTCATAATTCACCTTCACAAAATTTATACTTATAAACATATTAGAAAATTATAGTACATGAGTAGTTTTACTACGATTAATGATCTTTCCTGCATTAGAAATCGGTTTATTTCTCGAATCAGCAGAAAACCTCCTACATCAGGTCAGTTTTGACCCAAATAAGCTCAGTATTAACATCTCTGCTTGTGAAGATGTGTATGATGCGGGATCGAAGTCACTATGAAGCACTAGTTCTTTTAAGATTACAAGTACGATTTTGCTGACAAATGTCAAACAGTATGAAACGCAAATCACGTAGGATTTTTTCCGTTGACTACCTGGTTAACAGTACACTTGGATTTATTCCGACTTGTTTAATCTTTAATAGAAATTAACAAACAAATGTTTATTAGAAATCATGAATCAATCATTGTTAGAAGACATCGTTGGAAACCTGACAGCACTGGATGGCAGTTGCATCGTGATTTCTATGTGTACAATAATGATCTCCATAACTCTAATTGAAAAAACTGTACAATGTGCTTACTAATGACTAGCTAAGTAACGAAATTCTTAGAGTTCTAGTTGGATGACATACGTAACCAGTGGAGATCAATCCTGTCGGTTGTAGACAGTAACCACCAAAGACAAATGAGCGACATCGCACAAAATCCCTAGATTGATCAGAGTTAGACGTTAACACTGTAGTGTAGAGGTTATGCGTTTGTATGCCAGGCCGAAGGTCCTACGATCGAACCTTGCGAGTAGCAGGAGTCATGGCTACGCACTGCTTTCTGATGAGTCAGTCTCATACCAGGATGAAACGGCCATCTCTCAGTGCTCTTAGGTTTGTAATGATGTGGTCAAACAATGATCGATTGATTGACTGGTGATGTGAATGTGTTAAACACTAATCTCCATAACTCTCATCACAAATTATATAGTAATCAGTATAATAGGAAAAAAAGTCATAAGAAAACATTTACCAAATCTAAACTTGATCTCTTCATCTCGTTCTCTTTCATTCGAAGTTGTTCTTCTTGTAGTTTTTTACATTTTTCATTTTCTTGCTCCAATTGTACTTGTAAATTATGATATTGAATTTTCATTTGATCATACTAGAGTGGAATGTATTTATTTGTTTTAGTTTGGAGGGAAAAATAATTTGGCGAAAGTAAATGTCTATTGAATTATTGAAGTTAGACAGTAATACCATTTTTTGATGCTGACTCAGTGATTAACCATTCGCATGAGAGCGCGGAGGCTCTGGGTGTGATTCTAGAACACGGTGGATAGTGAATGCGCAGTCCTGATGCCTGACATACTAGGATAAAACGGTCGTTCAGTGTTTCTAAGTTCTTAATGACATGGTTTAACACTGATTGATGGCCATGATCCAACTGAATAATTACGCATACGAACGAATTCATGTTTAATCACTTATGAAATTCCAAATATAATAACTCAACTACTCATATCTATCTATTATAAGTAATAATAAGATATAGTTTATTTGCAAACAAGTGTATTATTCGAAAACTAATAATCGACGATTGATTATCATATAAAAAAGGGTAAGGAAATCTATGTGTCATCTTAAATATCTGTCTGACGACACTCTACTTACGAATCCTTTGAAATCATGAATCAATTATTGTTAGTCTTATCATCAGAAACCTGTGAGCACTGAACAGTGATTTCATCCTAGTATGATAAACTTCAGCGATAAGCATCCACGACTGCTGCTCTCGGAAATAAAAATCCAGGATTTTCGGTCTCGCGTATGAGCGATGATTGATTCATGATTTCAGTTAACAAACAACAATCCCCATAACTCTATCATGAATATAATACAATGTGCTCACTAGTGACCAGCTGCATGAGGAAATTCGCGCAAACCTACTGAGTTTTGACCCACGAAATCTAACCATGAGCATTTTGAGGTGGTAACTCAACAAAGATAATGAAAAATGGTTGTGCAAGATCATGAATTGAATGAACTTAGACATTACTACCGCAAGATGCCTTCTCAGTGGTCTGCAGGTTACGCGCCCACATGCGAGACTGAAGGTCCTGGTGTGGTGTGAGCTACTTATAAGTAGTATATGACGCGAGTGTCAACGTAATGTCTGGCAGCAGAAGATGGGGGAAGATCAAGAAAGGAAGAGTTAGAACACAATGGAATTTGTATGAAACGCATGAATAGTGACAATGGATTGATGTTTTGCAACAGGAACAGTCCAGTTCGATATGATGAACTGATATTTTGCAAATTAACCGTTTACGATATGGTTTTCCTATTTTACCGAGTAACTCTGTAATGCGATTCGGTTGCCCCACCTGTGTTCTCCTTCACTACACTGGGCTTTGAATCCCGCAAGCGAAAGTAGTGGACGCGCACTTCTAAAGAGTCCTATACTAAAACGAGACGATCGTTCAGCTGTTCCAGGTTTCTAATACTGATCAAACAATAAATGATTCATGATTTCAATAGAAAACAACAATCTGCATAACTCTCCAATGAAAATAACCAATCACAATGTTCCTTTATTCATACAACAATTTTTTTCTTCACAAGTAATTTCATTTAATAAACTCACTTCAATTTGTATTTCTTCAAATGATTTCTGGGCTTGTTCATAAGATGCTTTCATTTCATTGTATTGTTTACGTAATCGATCTAATTCTTGATTAGATGTTGGCTAATAAGATATTTGAGAAAAATTATATATATGAAAATATGATTTTCATTATTAAGTAAAGGGACTATTTTAAAAGTTAAATGAACGTAACGGAATATAATCAATGTTTGCATTACGGGGTTGTGAAGATTGTTAAGTTACACATTTTTGAAACCATGAATCGATCAATGTTAGACAACCATTAGAAACCTGGAAGCACTGAAAGACGGCCGTTTCGTCTTCAGCAGTGCGCATCCACGGGTGTAGGCAGTTTCTACCGAAGACTGTGTATGAGGTTTGCGCAACTCCGTGAATTTGATCAAGTTAGACATTAACAGCATTAGATAGTGACTCGGTGGTCCGATGGTTAGGCGTTCGCCCGCAATACCGAAGGTTCCGGGTTCGGATCCTGCGGGGTGCAGGAGTCGTGGTTGCGCACTGCTGATGAGTCCCATACAACGACGAAACGGCTGTCCAGTGCCTCCAGGTTTCTAATGATCGATTCATGGTTTAAATAATCAATGTTGTTAAAATCTACTTCATTGCTCGTTTGAACTAAACCTACAATGTTTCACATAATTTTCGTATTATTTTGTAAATATTATCATGAAGTCGAGAAATTAAAAAGCAGTTCATTCTAACCTGATACTTCAGTAGCTTGTTGTATATAAGTTGTTCATGCTAGTCCTGTATACTACTTACGAATAATTCAATGATATCATGTCAAATAAAGAATTGATATACATCAGTCATTGTTCGATCACCGTTAGAAACCTGGAAGCACTGAAAGATGGCTGTTTCGTTCTGGTTATGGGACTGATTGATCAGCAGTGCTCATCCACAACTCCTACCACTCACAGGATTCGAACCTACGACCGTCAGTCTTGCGCCCGAACTCCCAACCTCTGTAATACTGGGCCGGCATCCAACAGTGTTAATGTCTAACTTTGATCAATGTAGGGATTCTGCGCTACCTCACCTTGGTTGCTACTGCCTAGCACTTTCCACTACCCGATATGATTTTCATCATAGGACTGTGTAGATTATTTCATTTGATACTTGTATGGGACTCATCAGCGATGCATGTATCCGCGACCCTCACTCCCGGACGCTTAACACCTAGATTTTTATAAATCATTCTTGACATGATACCATTTCAAGTTGTCCTTCTTCTTCCGATTGTTATGATTATTATTATCATTACTAGTATTGTTATTAATATTTCATACAACTCTATTTTAGTATAGACTACTATTTTAACATATAACAATTAACTATAAATATATTTTCATAATAGGATTGTGGAGACTGTTCAGTTAATTTGCAGTCATAAATCGACCAACAGTCTCCACGATCCTATAATGAAAATTATCTTGTACTCACTAGAGACTAGATCTTTGAGGGAGTTTCTTCTAATTCTAGTGAGAAGTTGTGAACAGTGGAGTTCAACCCTGTTGGGCGTGAGCAGTCACCCACTGAAAACAGTGGATGAGGTTGAGCCAGACCCTGGATTGATCAGAGATAGACATTTTATGCCGTTGGATGCTGACTTAGTGGTCTAGAGGTCAAGCGTTCGCGAGCGAGATCGAAGGTGTTGGGTTCGATTCCCACTCATCGGGTCGCGGATTCGCATCGATAGTAAATCTCATACCAAAAGTTCCAAGTTTCTAATGGTGTTCTAACATTGATCGATTCGTGATTTCAAAGAAAACTCAACATACTCCAGAACCGTTTGATGAAAAATAATAGAAGCTGGTAAAATATAGTTTTCTTTAAATCAAAAAGCTGCATATACTTTCAAACATGTTACATTATCCGGTGAGCAGTTACACTCTTTTAGTTCGAGAACAATATATTGGACTCTAAAGTAAAAGGTACTAAGTTCAAGTCTCATTGTTAACATTAACGCTTGAACTTAGATGTATCACGCTTTAAATGTCAAACAGAATGAAATGTGAGTCTTATATTCCACTACTAACAACTATCTAACTGCGTTAGGATATTCGACCAATATCCTAAGAGAATTATTGGTCAATTCCTATTGGTTAATTCCTACTGGTCAATTTTATGATCGTCCTAGATATCAATGTCACGTACTCCAGTGTTGTTTCTTATTGGTCATCTTAATTGTCAATGTCACAAACTTCAATGTTGTGTCTTATTCAACCTAAATGTATAAATACGCATTATATGTAACGTTCTATGACAAGGATCCGAACCCGGATCCTTAGTACGGGATCCTGATTCTCTTCTGCACTCGGACCTCGTACTTTCTGGTCGCTTGTACAGTACAGGTTCTCCTTGATATCAAGTCTTCTTCTTTCACTTAATGAAGATTGGGAAAATCGGATTAGAGTAGCATGTAGTGTCGCCGGATCCTCGTTCTCGTTTACGACTAAAATACACTCTTAATAATTCAAGCATATCAAGCTGACGTGCTTACGTGCATGCGTAACACTTTGATGAAAACTTGTGACTAAATGATAATTTGTAAGTGATCAATTCTTGATAGAAATTCATTATTATAATCTGTAAAGCCGTTTCGTCTTAGTATGGCACTTATTAGCAGTACGCATCCATGGCCTCCACCTCCTTCGTGGGATTCGAACCTAGGGCTTACAAGTTCGCACGAAGGCTTAAATTGTTGACCAGGTTTCTAATGGAGTCCAAATATTGATCGGTTTCAATGAAACTCACCAATCTCCACTACCCTACAATAAAAAATTACTAGGTTTTATTTCAATAAGCCATATTATCGTTCTAACATATTGTAAGATTTCTTTATTAAATCTCTGAATGTTCAATATATTTTAAATAATGCATGTGTTTTTTTTAAAAAAAAGGGACACAACATGACTTTAAAATTAAAAAAGATGGTTAATGGGTAGTAGTAGTAGTATAGCTCAGCATTGTGTTGGTGTTTCGTTCTCAAAGTTGGATATAATGGTTGTGAAGCTTTAATTGCTCCTCAGAACAATATGATTAGCATAAAGTTCAGATGAAAGTGGAGTAGTCGTTTGACCTGTAGCTTGTTCTGTTAACCTCGATCTTGATTGGTTGCTGGTGACCTTAAATCTTTCATTGTTTTCACCTGTGCTTTGATTTTATCCCCCTTTTGATCTGTTTCTTGATCCTATGTCACCTTTGATTTTCCTGATTGATTGATAAATTAGGTCAATATCGATGTGTTTGTTGATTGCTGATTGACCTGAGTGCCCAGCTTCTAAAAATTCCCTAGCTTCACAACCAAAATATCCAGCTCAGAGAGCGAAAAACCACCACAATCATTGACCTGAGCTAAAAATTTTCTCCACCATCTCATAACTCAGCATGTGCCTTTCATCCTACATCTGAACTCGTCATTAGCTAGATGTATCTGGATCCCGAAGTTATGCACCCTCCAAGACCCAAACTCAGTACCAAACGCGTCAGACACTGTTGTATTATTCGCTAAGCTACTGAGTTCAAGCAACTACTGGTTTGTACAGTGAGATGGTTATTTGAATTTGGTCGACTCATATGACTGAACAACAATCTGGAAACGATTTGTACACGATATACTCACACAGATATGTCAAGAAATAAGGTGATTTATCAATCCTAGTTCTAAACATCACTGTGAAAAAGATTCAACCCAATCAATACAAATAAAGAGTTCAACAATTTTCTTTTGTGAATGAATTCAACTTACTTGATATAATCTAGGTGATGTTAACAATGATAATCCAGCTGTGACTGATTCTGTTGATTCTTGTCGATCTAATAAACGTTGTCTTAAATTGTCAATTTGACTTTCTAGTTCTGTATTACCTTTACGTAGACTATGAATTTCATCTAATAAATCATGCTATAAGATAAATGACGAAAAAATTATAATAAAAAGAATTGATAACACATGTTACTATACTACTTATTTAAATTCAGACAACCTTGTTAATATAATAATAGTAATTATCATGACCATTAACGCGAAACGCCGTCTGGAGCCCTTCTATGGTTCCTGAAGGTCCCAAGCCTGAATAAAGGAGGAGAAGGGTTGGATATGGAAGGAGAGGATTGGCGATCCCGTCCCATAGAAATCCAGCTCTCTAAACCAAGTGCTAACCCGAAAAATAATTCGTTTATTGGCGGCCTATGATTTATTAGGGGTAATAGGCGAAGGTAAGTAAGTAAGCGTTACACATGCACGTAAACATGTCAACTCAATATGCTTGAACTATTACAAGTTTGCCTTGGTCGGAAAACGAGAGAGAGGATTCGGTGACACGACATGCTACTCTAATCCGAGTGTTCCAACCCTCATTGAGTGAAAGAAGTTGCGATATGAAGTAGAACACGTATTCTACAAGCAACCAGAAAGTACGAGGTTCGAGTCCACAATAGAATCAAAATCCCAGACTAAGGATTCGAATGCGGGTTCGGGTCATAAAATGTTACAGATAATGCGTATTTATACATTCAGGTCGAATATGAAATAGCATCGAAGTCCGTGACATGGATAGTTAAGTCGACCATTAGAAAACAATATTTGGAGTGACACTGATAATCAGGATGATCATAAAATTGACCAATAGAAATTAACCAATAGGAAATGACCAATTAGTCTCTTAGGATATTGGATGAATATCCTAACAGTAAGTAAGCCATTTACAAGACGAAACTTCTTTAAATACGTTTATTATGCATACAATTTATTGAATTACCATTCTATTGATTACAACTAGACAGGTGACTACTTTAAATCATTTCGAACAATCTGCTTAAAGGAGCTGGATTAGGGACTCATCTACACAGCTGAAGTAATTTGAATCGACTACGGGAAACTTAACTTACGCATACATTAAACTGACAATGAATGTTATAAACCTCTTATCCTCTTTCTCAATTCCTTTATGTGATCACCTTTTGTTTTAAAATACACAGTCATCTTTCCAAATTCACATGAAATTTCGCCATAATTAGGTTGACTACACCGTGCATATTACATGTTATAGTCATACCTCGCTATTGCTATAATTATTTTTCTTAGTATAGAGTTGTGGAAACTATTGAAATCATGAATCCAACATTGTTAGACTATCATTAGAAATCTGGAAGAGCTGAACAGTCGTTTCACCATAGTATGAGACTTATAAGCTCATACGCTCATACACAACCTTGGCTCGCCAGGATCTAACCCAAGATCTTCGATCTCGTGTGTGAACGCATCACCTTTAGACCACTGAACCGGCATTGAACAGCGTTAATATCTAACTTCGATTGCTTCCAAGTTCTTAATGACAATCTAACAATGATTGATTCACGGTTTCAATAAAGTATTTTAGATTTCATGTGTGGTTTTTTAAAAAATAAATGTATCTTAATTTATTTATGAAGAACACAGTTTGAATATTCTTTGTAACTAAAGAAAAAATTGAGAAATAGTTAATGTACAATGATTGTTTAAGATGCAATTAAAACTTACGGTATATAAATTTATTTTTATACTACACAATAATACTACTGTTATATATGAGTGAGTAAATGAACGATGGTAGATGTAGACCAACTGGTTGGGGTCCGCGAGACGAAAGTCATCAATGGTTAGAGACCTTGAATGACATGGCTCAGAATCGTTTGCAATGGTGCAAGTGCATCCATTCCTTGTGCTCTCTCAAATCCTAATCTTCTGGATTCGTCAGCACCTCTATCTTTCGCTTTCTAATCTTATCTCACTGAATTATACTTCTTGAATAATATCTTCAAACCCTAGTCTTCTTCATTACCATTAATACCTCTACTATCACTATGAGATTTGATTTGACATCTGCGTCTCTGTGTTAATGTGGTATGGCTACATGGACTTATGTACATACGTACGAAGTTCTACGTTGCAACTGACTGACTGACTGAAATGAACGGTAAATGACATTTGAACTACTTTATGGTAGATTATGATATATAATTTAATCCTGGACTCATTAAACCCTTATTTTAAGTGATATTTACGTGACATTTTCATTTAATGTGTTAATTATTTGCATATCTCTTACTTAGTTAAGTCAGTTATCCCGAATGGAGGATGGGCCACCAACCGGCATTCTGCAGTTTACTCTGTCCGGAGCCTTCCTTTCCAGTTCTACCCTACTGTTGTTGATTCTTCTCATGTCCACCGACCTATATTAATGTTTGCTCTGGCTTTTAGAATAGGCGTTGATCTCGTGACTACCAAAATAACTCCGATTTCATCACGAGGCATCATAACTTTTTTAAATGAACAGCTTCCAATTTCCAGGACAAATTTAATTGGTTTGAATTATTTTCTCTGATTAGTGGTTTTAAGTGAGTTGGTATTTTTTATCAGTTGGAGTCGCTAACCCCATGCCCAACTCTATCGTCTAAGTATTCATAATCAGACAAAAATGAGCCAGACAAGCGATAAGCGAAGTGAGCATGTACACCATACACGATCAAATGCATAAATTCCAAGGATATGAGCGATTAACAGACACCGTCGAAAGACATGTGAATCATGTACTCGAGTAGAAAAGTTTAATTAATTTGTCCGAAAGCGAGAATAAGCCACACACACATACAAGTTCATCTAAATCGGAGTCCGATTCCCAAAACCTAATCATATAATTAGGGTTAATAATGATACTGAGACATACCACATCTACTGATTAAAACAAAACCTCTCTATTATGAAACGTAGTGAACTTACATTTTCATTTTCAAGTTTTCTTAATCTTGTTTCACGTTCTTCTGCACGTTTTTGATTCACTGATAAACGATTATTGATTTCTTCAATGGTCGATTGTAGACGGGTGATTTCATCAGCTTGACAACGCTTTATTTTTGAAAAAGATAATTTGAAGTAGATGCAGAGATGTATTAGTAAGTAAAACGTGACAGTTCTATGGATTAACTTATTCACAAACCATACATATTTATTGACAATCAAAATTATAAACTTAAACATGTTGACTAAACTATTTCACTAGCAAACAGAAGTTCGAATCTAACTAGGAATGATTGTAATAATTTGTTACTTACTTACTTACTTACTTACTTACACCTGTTACCCTCAATGGCGCATAGGCCGCCCACCAGTTTTCCCCAACCAACTCTGTCCTAGGCTTCCGTCTCCAGTTCTGTCCAATGTTTGTTCATTCCTCTCATATCCTTCTCTATTTCTCGGCGTAGTGTGTTCCTTGGCATTCCTCTTTTCCTTTTTGCCTTGAAGGTTCCATGTGACGGCTTGTCTCGTGACGCAGTTAGGTGTTTTTCGTAGTGAGGGTCCTATCCACTTCCACCGCTTCTTCCTGATTTCCTCCTCCACTCGAATCTCGTTTGTTCTCTCACACAGTACGTTGATGCTGATAGTGTCTGGCAAACGACTACGAAGTATTTTGCGTAGACAACTATTAATAAACACTTGTAACTTCTGGATGATGCCTTTGGTAGTTCTCCAAGTTTCGGCTCCATAATTCAGAACTGTCTTGACATTTGTATTGAAAATCCTGATTTTGGTTTTGGTTGAAAGTTGTTTGGAGTTCCAGATATTTTCCAAATGTAGAAATGCAGCCCTTGTTTTACCGATACGCGCCCTCACACCTCTATCGGATCCACTTTGATTGTCTATGATGCTGCCAAGGTATGCAAAGGTGTTAACGTCCTCCCAAGAATGTCCATCAAGAGTGATTTGGTTGGTGCATGTTGTGTTGCATCGGAGAATTTCGCTTTTCCCTTACTGTGTATTGAGACCTACTGCTGCAGAGGCTGCTGCTACACTGGTCGTCTTCTCTTGCATTTATTGTTGCGTGTGCGATAGAAGAGCCAAGCCATCTGCGAAACCCAGATCGTCCAGCTGCGTCCTAACTGTTAGGTGATTTTTTTTCACAATAAAGAGGATTTATGTAGATTATATTATTTTCACGGTTTAAATGACACAGTGATACAAACTAGACCAATATTGGAAACCTGGAAACACTGGATAACTGTTTCGTCATAATTTGAGATCCTTGATTAGTGCACATCTATAATCCCTGCTCATGGAAATCGAACCCAATAGCTTCAGTCTCTCAAGTGAACTCCTAACCTGTAGAATACAGAGTCGGCCAACCAATGGTGTTTGTGTCTAATTTCATTCAGTCAGTCAATCAATCAATGATGTCATCTACCCGACACTGGTTGAAGTTCACTAGTCACGGTTCCTCACTAGAAATCCAGTAATATATCACGAAACTAGTCACCATTGAATACGTGATGATCAATAATGAAGGACATTAGTGAAGATTGTAGTATTTTCATAGTTGAAAATATTGAGTGTAATTAATTCTGTTTAATAAACACAAATCAACTAAAGAACTGATCGAAGCAACAAAATAATCTCATTGAAATTAGGAGCTGATCATTGTTAGACCATTATTAGAAAACTGACATGCTTGAATGCTATAAATAGTTCGTCTAACTCGGTAAACGGAGTGAAGACAAATAATGCAGTGACACGACAGGCTATTCTAATCTGATTGTCCAAGGCTCCCGCAAACTAGAGCAAGAAATCATGATGAGGCTTAGCGAACGTATTCTACAGCCATCCAGAAACACGAGGTTGCTAAGCAAACAAATCAAGCTTTTTTATAAAATGACAGGAACACCCTTGGTGATTATTCGATAATGATGTCGACCATAATTTTGAATTTGTAATAATTCGGTTACTGTATCGATTAGTGTATAGTTGATTGTGTGTGTGGATACTTTGTTGCTTATTATATGTCTAGCTTATTATTGAGATGGTGAAGATTTGTAGCTCAGGTGGATGATTGTGGTGGTGGTGTTTGGTTCTCTGAGCTGGGTGTTTTGGTTGTCAAGCTTTCATTGTTCTTCTGCTGAACACAACATTATCAGCACAAATTTCAGATCCAGAATTGGAGTAGTCAAATTTCTCCACGTTTGACCTGTAGCTTGTTCTGTTAACCTCGATCTTGATTGGTTACTGTTGACCTTAAACCTGTTGTTGTTTTCACTTTTGTTTTGATTATATCCCCCTTTTGATCTGTTTCTTGATCCTATTTCACCTGTGATTTTCCTGATTGGTTGATAAATTGATTGCTGATTGACCTGAGTGCCAAGCTTCCAAAAATTCCCTAGTGTTCTTTGTCTTCCCCCTACCCAGTATTTCCACATTGTTCCAATCGAATGTGTGTCCATAATTGTCGGTGTGTATTGATATAAGCTAAGCTTTGTCGTGGCGTTTGACTGCTAACCGGTGTTCACGTAAACGAAGCTGAAGAGGCCGTCCACTTTGTCCTATGTAGTGTTTTCCACAGTCTGAGCAATTTATTTTGTAGATGATATTTGGTTTTTCTTCCTTTGTCATTTTGTCCTTTGGTCTACATAGGATTGATTGAAGTGATTCTGTTGGTTTGTGTGCTACACCTATTCCAAATAGTCTCAATAGTCGTGCTGTATGCTCCGATATGTCTTTGATGTATGGCAGGATGATCCGTTTATTGGTTCCTGTGCTTGATTTCGCTTCTGATGAAGGTTTCGGTTGCTGTTTTTTTGATGAAGTTGCGTGGATAGCCGTTCTTTTAGAAGATAGTCACAAGGTGTTTTTCCTCGCTGTTTTAGTGCTTCGTATGTGCTGCAGTGTGTCTTCGCTCTCTTGAACAAAGTTTGTATGCAGTTGATTTTGTGGGTTCTTGGGTTGTTGCTATCATAGTTGAGAATCACGTCTGTGTGGGTTGGTTTCCGAAATACTTTAGTTCGCAGTTTTCTAGCTTATTATTGCTTGACTATAAATACTTAGTCATTGCTTCAGCTAATGGAGAATTGGCTCACTCGCCTTCTCCAATTCGCTTCGTTTTACCTTGTACTCTTCCCTTCTCGTATTTGTCTGCATAAGTGAATGTATGAAATAAATTCATCCGCAACATCGTATTTGGCTTCTTACTAACGTCGTCACACAAACGAGGTTAGCCTAAGTATAATATACGAAAGTGACAAGGAAGATTTATTTCATTGCACACTCGATCGTTCGTTCACACTGAAGTCCAGTAGTGAGCCGCTAAAATCTGCTCTATTTAAAATTTTACCAAGAAAACTCTTGATATTATTTACTACTGATAAACATTCATTACTCGTAGTGTTTTAGCAACAAATTTTTATTGAATTTAAAAATGTGAACCAGCTGAGTGTGTAAATCCTTAATCTGAGCAGATGATGAGTGCCGTCGAAGAGTCATATAAATTATACCAAGCAGAAATAACTATCCATCTCTGCTTTCTATTTCTGATTGGTCGTTTTATTCAAATTCACCGGCAGTATGAAGTGCCACCACGTATATTCCAGTTCGCTTACATCTAACTTGGTTAAGCCCTTTCGATTAATTCCTTTAACCAAGCCATTTGTATTGCAACACTTTATATGTACCATTCGTTCTTATTATTTGTCTGGTTTGTGTGATGAGCTCACAAGATGTGTCCCACTTGTCATTTGACCTTGTCAATCATTCGTCGCTTTTATTCATGTGTGCATGCCTATCTGGTTGATCACATGTCTGTCTTATTATGGTCTGACTATAAATTCTTAGTCATGCTCTATCTCCTGGAGTTGGCTCATTAGCCTTTTCCGATTCACGTCGCTTCATTCGCTTTATTCACTGCTTCTCCGCTTCGCTTTGTGGAGTGTTCACTTTGAGTTCCCCTTCTGGTTCATAAATCGTCAGACGCTAGTTAGTAACGATTGTCTGGACGAGCTAGTTACTGAGCTTAAGAACAGGCAGTAAATCGACACACTACAAGTATACAGTCAATAAAAAATCAATATCATCTATTTTTTCTAAAATAAACAATAAAAACCTACAATTTCACTTGTTTGACTTTTTAATTGATGTCCTTTCTCATCTAGCTTCATTTCTAAATGTCCAATACGTGTTACTTGTTCTTGATTAGTACAACGTAGCCTTGCTAATTCTTCTGTCTATAATAATAATAATAATAATAATAATAATAATAATAATAATAATAGTAATAAATTATTAATTAAAATAAATTTTATTGAATTACGTAATCTGAGTTTGATTAATAGAAATAAATTAGTAAGTTAACAATAGTAATTGAGTATTAAAGATTCCCATTGTAAAAATTAGAACAACACAGATATAAGCGAACAATATTGTTATTTTCGATTAGATCGTCATCAGGCTTAACTCTAATATACATGAATATTTATGTATGAAAATATTAAAACCAATCAAGGCAATTTGAGTCAATAATCACAATGAAATGAAAAAGATTACGGCACTACACACATAATAGGCAAAAGTACAAGTGGATAGTAGGAAGACAGGTGTACTGATAGTAGTAAGAAAATTATAAAATACGATAACTAAAGTTTTATCAATAATAGGTCAAAGGTGGATGAATAGACTTCAAATAATCATTAAAAAACCTCAAAACCATTACGTTATAAGCAAAAGAGTTGGCCTCCTCTATGTGAATTTACAAACTCAGCTGTTCCTGTGACGAAAGCTATATCGGGCGTACTACCAGGCAACTTAACCAACGAATGAGTGAACATCTCCCAGCATGGTTTAAGAGGGGTCAGTCAAAAACAATACGCAGTTCTATCTTAGCACACCTGGTTGACAGTGTTCACATTGTAGATAAGTCTAGATCTTTTCGGGTGATCTGTCTCGTATACCTCCATCATTTCCCAATGGAGTTCTATCCCGTCTCCTACACATTGCAGAAGCCATATGAATTCGCACATTCAACCCTAATTTATGTGTTCAAAAGAAATTCGTGACACCCCTATCTCTTCCGTGGCCGGATATGACGTAACTAACGATTGACATTATATTTTTCATTTTATTCTTATTTTTACACATTTGCTTGTAACGTAATGGTTTTGAGGTTTTTTAATGATTATTTGAAGTCTATTCATCCACCTTTGACCTATTATTGATAAAACTTTTGTTATCGTATTTTATAATTTTCTTACTACTATCAGTACACCTGTCTTCCTACTATCCACTTGTACTTTTGCCTATTATGTGTGTAGTGCCGTAATCTTTTTCATTTCATTGTGATTATTGACTCAAATTGCCTTGATTGGTTTTAATATTTTCATACATAAATATTCATGTATATTAGAGTAAAGCCTGATGAGGATCTAATCGAAAACAATCATATTGTTCGCTTATGTGTTTTGTTCTAATATCAACTGAGTGAAATGAGGTTTTTGTTCTGAGAAGGAAAGCCTATCTAGATGAGACATCGCGCTGAGTATTGTAGCTAAACAACCGGGTTTGAGTAAAGATGCTATCGCACATGAGCGTGTCCAGCGTTTTGGAACTAAGCTGGTGACGGGTCTTTTTAAGTTTTATTAGGATGAACGTTTAAGATGTCTAAAACTTTTTCCTTTATCTTATCGTTTAATAAGGAGTGATTTTCTTATGGTATTTTTTATCTTGAATAACGACCTGGGTGTTACCATGTCTTATATCTTTCGCTTGCTCAACAACTAATCATCTTCGTGTTACGCATGCACGTAAACTTGTCATTTGATATGCTTGGATCATTACGAGTTCATTCTAGTCAGTGAACAAGAGGATCCAGCGACACGACAGGCTACTCTAATCTGAGTTTCCCGAACCCCCATGTTGAGTAAAAATAAGAAGACTTGATATGAAGTAGAACATGTATTGTACAAGCAACCAGAAAGTACGAGGTCCGAGTACAGAAGAGAATCAAGATCACAGACTCAAGATCAGGGACCGGGTCATAAAATGTTACAGATAATGCGTATTTATACACTTAGGTCGAATAGGAAACAGCATCGAAGTCTGTGACATTGACAGTTAAGACGTCCAATAAGAAACAGCATTTGAGGTGACATTGATATCTAGGACGATCATAAAGTTGACCAGTAGAAATTAACCAATAGGAAATGACCAATAATTCTCTTAGGATATTGGATGAATTTCGTGGCACTTCGATGTTACTACAAGAAGGTTAAACAACCGCGATCGACTTAACTCATTATGTGATTCCATTTTTTTTAATCGACTAGCGAATGACTGAAACACCTTGACTGAACAAGTGCTATCAGTTACATTAAGTGAACACTTTGAAGAAGAGGCTGGATCTTCACTGAGAAAAGTATTCTGCAAGGAATAAAGCAGGTCTATCGACCTATTGTCCTTGCTTGCTACTGAAACTGATTTCACAGTTTTAATGAATCAGATTCAAAGTATACAAAGTATAACAAATCAATCATTATTTATTGCACTTAAAATACTTTGAAGTCTACACTGGATAGATAAGGTTATGCACATTTGTTTTGATACATGACTAGTGTATATACTGGTATCTTCAAAGCGTTGCTCGTATATCATGGGAAAGCCGAGTAAGTAATGCTGTTGTTAGGAAGGATATGAGATCAAATAATGAAGTGACGAAGTTCTTAAGTGTGTTACATATGCCTAATCACCGATTGCCTCAACGAGCCATGTTTTGTGGTGTAGGAACGGGCTGCAAGAAATCTCGTGGTGACCAAACCGAAACATGGAACAAATCCATCACGTCACTGACAAGAGGGATGAACCATATTACTACGTGTAGACTATCTGGTTGGGGTCCGCGAGATGACACTAACCGATGGTTAGCAATTTCGAATGACATGGCTCAAAATCGTTTATACTTTCTCTGTGTTCTTTCAAGTTCTCATCTTCTAAAGTCCTCATCACTTTTATCCTTCTCTATCTCTCCTTTTTTAAATTTATTTCTCTGGATTCTACTTATTGAATAACATCTTCGAACTCTAATCTGTCCGATTACAACTGGCATGTCTACTATCAAAACTACTATGGGGTTTGAATTGACAGTTGCGTCTCTACGCTACTGTGATATGGCAACGTGAACTGATGGGCCTACCCGTTCGAAATGAGATAATGTGAGGTGTGACATTTTTAGGGTCGACGTTGTCTAACCCTTCCTTCCTTGTAAGAAGGCAGCATTTCTGAAGATGCTGGTTGTCTCAGCGAAACACCTTACTGCTATCACACCTCTCTGCAGTCAGCAGTACGACTTCGCCCTCAGACCTTGGGTAGATGCCTTTAGTCTCATGATTCTCCAATCGACCTGCCAGGCATGATAGAACCTTCAGGAACATATGTTTCAGCCAACCAATATGGTTCGGTCGGATCATCACGATAAGCAAGCCCAACCATCACGTCAAGGTAACAGCTACAGTCGGGATGAAATAGTTCATTATACCATTCAACTAATAATAAATAACTAAGCATAACTTACATATTGATTTTGTATTTGTTTAATTCGTTCCTCCCTGTAAACTGCATCATCACGTAAACTTTTAACTTCTGCTTCAGCTGTTGACAATTGCTTACGTATATTTGTTAATTCATCGCGTAATTTAAACTGTGCAGTAAGTAATAAATTAAAACAAAATTATTTTTTCTTGATTCGATTACGCAATTGTAAAATTATGGGTGTTTTTTTATCTAAATGTATGTGCAGAATGAAATGAATGAAACCTTTGGTAAGAGTTATAGAGAAAAAGACGAAAAGGTAAAGATGTAAGTTTTAAGAGTGATTGAATTTCAAAATGTATTATTCAATAGTAACAACTGTTTTCAATGAGAGTTCCTGTCATTTGGATCCTCCTGTCAAAACACCAATCAAACAGCACCAAAATTAGGATTTTCAATACAAATGTGAAGACAGTTCTACTGTATGGAGCAGAAACTTGGAGAACCACAAAAGCCATCATCCAGAATATACAAGTATTTATGAACAGTTGTCTACGCAAAATACTTCAGTTTCGTTGACCACACACCATCAGAAACAACGTACTGTGGGAGAGAACAAACCAGATTCCATTGGAGGAGGAAATCAAGAAGAAGCGGTGTAAGTGGATAGGACACACACTACGAAAAGCACCTAACTGCGTCACGAGACAAGCCGTCACATGGAACCCTCAAGGCGAAAAGAAAAGAGCAAGGTCAAGGAACACACTGTGCCGAGAAATAGAGAAAGATATGAGAAGAATAAACGAAAACTTGAAAGAACTAGAAAGGGAAGCCTAGGACAGAGTTGGTTGGCGAAAACTTGTGGGTGGCCTATGCCTCATTCGGAGTAACAGGCGTAGTAAGTGAGTAAGTCAAATTAACGTAAAATGTGGAGCTATTAAAAGTGTTCGATGCCAGCTCAGTGGTAAGAGGCTAGCCGTTCACGCGCTAGACCAGAGGTCCTCTATTCGACTTCTACTATCAGCAGAAGTCGTATACGCATACTTCTGAAGTGTCCCATACCAGGAATAAACGGCCATCCAGTGCTTACACGATTTTAATCGTCGTTTAACAATGATTCATTCAAGATATCAATGTGTAATAATTTAAAAGTATACAGAAATATAACAAATTCCACTTATAAAACTTACAGATTCTTTTTCAGTTAATTCAATACGTGTTTCACGTTCTTTTATTGTATTCTGTAAATAACCAACATGATGTTTTAAATCATCAAGATCAGCTTTTTGTCGTTTAATTTCTTCAATATGTGATTTTGACTGAAATAAGTAAACAAACAAAATGAATTAGAATAGAATTTATGATCAATTTTTTTGAACAGTATCAACTATTGAATCATTGAACATTTAACAGATATATATGTGGTGTGTGCTACTCATACGAACGATATAAGTAGTATAAGAAGGGACGTGAAAGAAGAAGTCTCACGGTCAGAAGAGGAAGACGGAAAGCAAATGGAGCAAAAGCAAGAAGTAAATGGAATACCAACAGGAAGGAAAGGAAGCAACAACCGGAATGGAAGAAGGATGGAATGTTGGAAGTCACGACTCAAAGATGGTGTTCAAATAGAGTATTCAATGTAGTGTTTTCGTTTTTAACTGACTTAGAGTGTAAATCTTCCTCGCCTGCCTCAGTCTTCTCATATTTTTCATAGTAGGTTAAAATTAGTATTCATAAGTGCAAAGTCGTGTTTGTGTATGGTTTACCAGTTGAAATCAAAGTATCCTTGAAACTCACTTATGTCTATGATTTTGTCAACACTATAATTAATCAATTATTTTGTGCCTCATAGTTTTGTCAGACTCCATCCATAGTTAGTCATTGCTAGTCAATCATCGTTAGTATTTGGTTCGTCACTAAGTATGCTTGAGGCTATTACGAGTTTACCTTAGTCGATAAACGCGAACGAGACAATGAACCAGCGTCCAGGTAGGCCCAATTCGAATCCCCAAACTAAGGTAAGAAGGCTTTGTAAGCGTAGAAAGTATATTCTACAAACACCCAGCAACCACACAATACAATCAAGCACACAACTCTCGTTTATTTACACATCACAGAAACGTCCTTGGGACATTGAAGAAAATAGCACACTATACTACACATCAGCCAATCACAGTCATGGATTTTCATGGTGGGAAATGAAATCTCAAGATCAACTGATCAGCCCATGCTGGCAAACGTGAAATCCAAAATAATTCAGTTATCAAGCGAGTTTTAAGGATCTAAAATCCCCAACAGTTAGATCCCTTTTAGAAATATGGAAGCACTAGAGGGCCGTTTAGTGCTGATATAGGGTTTATCTGCAGTGCGTGTCCACGACTTCTGCTACTCACAGGAATCGAACCCTGGACCAGGATGAAACGGCTGTCTATTACTTACATGTTTCTAATGGTTGTCTAACAATGTAAAATAACAATCTCCATAATTCTATAATGAAAAATTATCAGTAAGTGGTAATAAAAATAATCTTATATTGTTGATGTTATGATGTACGGTTTCTGAGATCTGAACTTGATACATGGTAATACTTCCAAAATTGGATACTCGATTGAAATTGTAAGACCAGAATATAAATTCTATTTGGCAACCGAATATATACCAATCAATAGATATCACTTCCTTAGAAAATAAATCCATTTCTTGACCAATGACATTCCTTCGTCCTTTAGGATATTTTCAGATGGTCATCAAATAGCCTTTTCATTTGGTTACTTCTAACTGACTTGATTTATCAATGAAATACAATCACCAGTATATAGTGCTATACACTTTCTCTTTGTATATTCTTACAAACTGTTCATTGTTAGACCGAATCAATAGAAATTTAGAAGCACAGGACATCCGTTTCGTCCTGATATGATTTCAATGTGTAGAAACAACGATCTCCATAACTCATTGAAAAATCGTACAACGTGTTCAAAGTGAAAAGAAACCTTTATTTATGAAGTTGCAATTCAACAGAGATGTGGCCTGCGATACTCTGCAGGACATATTAATAAGAGTAACTACCAGAACATTCAACACTGCCAAACTTGCATTGACATTCTCCGGTCGATCAGTGATGTCTACCCAAACGAAGGATAAGTTACCTGAGTTGGCCTCCTCTATGTGCATTTACAAACTCAGCTGCTCCTTTGGAGATAGCTATATCGGGCGTACTACCAGGCAACTTACACAACGAATGAGTGAACATCTCCCAGCATGGTTTAAGAAGGGTCAGTCAAAAACAATACGCAGTTCTATTTTAGCACACCTGGTTGATAGTGGTCACAGTGTAGATAAATCTAGATATTTTCGGGTGATCTATCGTATACCTCCATCATTTCCCAATGGAGTTCTATCCCGTCTCCTACACATTGCAGAAGCCATAGGAATACGTACATTCAACCCCAACTTATGTGTTCACAAGAAATTCCTGAATTTTATTTGATTGACCTTTTATTCATCTTCATATAAAATGCCTTGACAAGTAAATATGTGTGACCAGATTGTTCGAAATGTATAGCGCAAATACATCACATTTTTCATATCAATTACGTCTTCTCACTATTCTATCAAAATTTATAAAAGGGAATAATTGTTTTAAATTACAATCAGTAAACCTGTCTTCCTATTATCCACTTGTACTTTTGCCTATTATATGTAGTCACGTAATCCTTTACATTACATTGTGATTATCACTAAAATTGCCATGATTGGTTTAACATTTTCGTATAAATATTCATGTATATTAGAGTAAAGCCTGATGACGATCTAATCGAAGACAATATTGTTCGCTTATATGTGTTGTTCTGAACTTCTCGGAGTTATAGTAAGAAGACGTGATCAGTGGAGGTCAACCCTGTAAGGTGTAGACAGTAACTACCAAATACAAATGGGTGAGGTTGTAGAAAAAGGCTAGATTTATCAGAGTTAGACATTAACAATTTCGGATGCCGGCTTAGCACTGGAGAGGTTAGGAGTTCAAGCGCAAAACCGAAGGTCCCAGGTTCGAATCCTGCGGGGTGCAGGATTCGTGGATGCATACTGCTGATGAGTCCTATACCAGGACAAAATGACCATTCAGAGCTTTCAGGTTTCGAATGGTGGTTTAACAATGATTAATTGGTGACTTCAACGTTTAAAAACGCTGATATAGACAGACAGACAGATACAACGCAGAACTTCGTACATAAGTACATCAGTTCATGTTGCCATACCACGTCAGCACAGAGACGTAACTGATATACATAATTATACTTGAAAAGATAGAAAGGTTGCGGGACCAAGATTTGAAGGGATGCATATAAGTTTCGAGACATGAATGAACGAGAAGATGATTATACAGTACACAAAATAACAATAAGTTCGGGTGCAGATTACACAATAAAATAAACAGAAATAGTAAAAACCAACACTGATGGGCTAACAAATCAAACGCTTTCGAAAATAATTACGAAGGTCGTGACGATAAGTTGATTACGGTCTCTTTTTCGACACATAAGAAATCAATCAGGTTTACGTTTTGTAATTGCTACAGCCTTGGCAACGCGGAAAAAAATGTTGCGTTTTCTTAGGTTATGATTTTGAAATTGATTTTCGAGTTCTTAGAAACGTTCTCAGCAATGCAAATATGTACTTTTCGCCCTGTTCTTCTGTTATATTTCTTTCTTAGTAAATCTAGCTATTCGTATTGCTTAGTATTCTCTCTCTGACAACAATACAATCGACAAGTCCCCAAATCAGAACATTGTTGAACAAGAAAAAAGACTATATTCCAAATTGCAAGGTTAAATGGAAGTAAGAAGCCGAAGCGAAGGTGAAATAAGAAAAAACCTTTGGTATTTTAATAGTTTTCACATGAGAAGCTTCTAAAATGCTCTCTAAGTGTTGACCAGCGCTGATTGGATAGAAATTAGCCAATCAGTAAACGAACGATAAATACAATAATCAAATTTCGAAAAATTGATATTTTATGAGATTTAGAAAGAAAAAGAATTGATCATTGAAACTTACACAATCTTGTTCTAATTGTTTAAGTTTTTCAGATTTTTCACTTAATTGACTTAAAACAGACTCGTATTTCTTTTGTAAACTATCTTTCTCTAAAATAAGTTTATCCTTTATTGAAAAGAAGAATAAAATAGGTGGAAAAGGTTATTTTATTAAACTTTAGTTAATTAATTGTTGATGAGATACTGTTTAAAGAAGTTAGTAGTATATGTTGTTGACCATAAAATTGTAAAGATTATTGAACTGCTTTGAAATCGTGAATCGATCACTGTTAGGGCTGGAAGTTCTGAACACCTGTTTCGTCCTACTATGGGACAACATCATCGGAGCTCGCGGGAATCGAACCCAGCTCATTCGTCCTCGCAAGTAAACTCTTATCCTATAGATCAGTGAGCTAGTTTTAAAAGGGGTGCTAATCATTTAACAATATTGCGCAACCTAACCGATTATCTTCGGTGGGTAACTGGCTACACACATAATACGGTTGAACTCCATCAATGACGGCTTCTTACTGGAACTCTTAGAATTTCTTCATGATGCCAGTCGTGCTAGTGAGTACACATTTACAACTGTATAATGAAAAGCATATCATGTTTGAACGAACTCATTATCTGTACAATTTTGATGATTCTTTGTATTACGGGGTTGTGAAGATTGTTAAGTTACACATTTTTTGAAACCATGAACCAATCAATGTTAGACCACCATTAGAAACCTGGAAGCACTGAAACACGGCCATTTCGTCCTGGTATGGGACTCCTCAGTGGAAGTGCGCATCCACGACTCCTGCACCCCACAGGATTCGAACCCAGGACCTTCGGTATTGTGAGCGAACGCCTAACCATCGGACCACTGGTTTCAAAAATGTGTAACTTAACAATCTTCACAACCACGTAATGCAAATCACCTGTGCTCACTAGTGACTAGCTTCGTGAGGAATCTTCTCCGAGTTCTAATGGGAAGTCGTGACCAGTGAAGTTCAACCTGTTCGGGTGTAGACAGTAACTACCGAAGACTGTGTATGAGGTTACGCAACTGCGTGAATTGATCAAGTTAGACATTAACACCGTTAGATACCGGCTCAGTGGTCCGATGGTTAGGCGTCAGCGTATAGTACCAAAGATCCTGGGTTCGAATCCTGTGGGGTGCAGGAGTCGTGGATGCGCACTGCTGAAGAGTCCCATACCAGGACGAAACGGCCGTTCAGTGCTTCCAGGTTTCTAATGGTGGTCTAACATTGATCAATTCATGGTTTCAAAAATGTGATTCTTTGTCTCCGTAATTCAAATCTAGGAAAATTAATATAAATATGGAAAATGGTAGGAAACATGGGAGAAAAACAATTGTATAGTAGGTATCGATCGTATTCGCATAATTCCAACTTATGTAAATCATGAATTATTCGTTGTTAAGCACCATTAGGAACCTAGAAACACTAGACGGCCTTTTTGTCCTCGTATGGGACTCATCAACAGTTCGCGTCGACAATCCCTACACCTGACGGCGTCGAACTCCACAGGTCTTATCTTTAGGCATCTAGCTATGCGTGAGATTGAGCAATATCTTAGACTGATCACCATTAGACACTGAGTTACAGATCAGTGGTCTGGATTTTAAGCGTTCACGCATGAGGCTGA